CATCAACAACATCAACAACAACATCAACAACAACAACATTAACAACAACAACATCAACAACATCAACAACAACATCAACAACAACAACATCAACAACAACATTAACAACAACAACATCAACAACAACAACATCAACAACAACATCAACAACAACATCAACAACATCAACAACAACATCAACAACATCAACAACAACGTTAGCAAAAGCATAATGAAGAACGACAGTCTAAACGGAAATGTTAAAAACTATCGCAACAACAACATTAACAACAACTGTTACGACATCAACATCATCAACAACAACAACGACAACAACAACAATAATAATAATATTAGCAACACTAACAATAGTAACAACAACAACAACAAATTAATTGATGGATACAAGCGGTTTTTTAACTACAGCAACATCAATACTCTCACCACCTACAACAACAACAACAACAACAACAACAACAACAATAGTTTCACACTCAACGGAGACATCAAACTCAATGCCGATTCAAATTACAACTCCAAAAATTTAAACTCTGCAATCGAAAACTGCAGAACGTTTTACGATTTCGTCAACATCAACAACAACAACATCAACAACAACAACAATAATAATAATAATAACATCAACAATAGCAACAACCACATCAATAACACTAACACGGAGTACCAGCACCCATCGGCTCTCTCCCAATACCTCGTATCAAACACCTGCATCATATGTTTCAGCAGCTTCAAATCTGGAAAAGAACTAATAGAACACGTCTACGGACACCACAAACATTTCATTCCTCCCTACAACTTCACGGCTCTCTCGTTCTTTCAATCCACTTACTTCAGATCATTTCTCCAGCAATTGTCTCATTATCAGCATTCAGTCAGCAGCAGCCACATTAACGATCGTAGTAATTTCGGCTGTAGTGATGGTGGCGACGATGTTGGCGACGACGATTACGTTAATGATGGCGACAACAACAACAACACAAACAATGATGATAATAGTCTCAATAATAAGAATAACAACAACACTGATGACGTCAACGATGATGACCTAAACAACAAACTGACCAGTCGTCCAGGGCAGACAGCAGTAGGCCAGCTGACAGCAAGCAGACCACCCGACACTCAGATTCCCGGCTGGCTAACTCCACTCTCCAGCGTTTCAAATGATAGTGACCGCTACATCAGACGATCCAACAGCGCTCTCTACAACAACACTGAGCCGTTAAATTACGCTAAAAGTTCAGATGACGTAAGAAATTATTTCCTGGATGGTTACTCGTCCAAAAGTTCAGTGCCCCTTTCCAGGTTCAACACCACTTGTCTAGACAGTGGAGGTGTTGGCGTGGTGGTGAGTTGTGGGGAGAGGGAGGTGAGGGTGAAGAATGAGCAATTGGAAGCAGGCGCTCTTCATGGTAAAAATCTTCTCCCATATTTGTTACCGCCATCATCATCGTCGTCGTCGTTTGACTACCAATCGTATCTGTTCACATCTGCGCCCTGGTTGGTCAGTCACAACAACATCAACAACAACATCAATAACATCAACAACAACAGCAACAATAGCAACAATTCTTCCTGTCTCTCACAACTGATCAACAACCAACAATCTTCAAATTTCATCGATAACATCAACAGCCACCTCAACTACAAAACTCACAACAACATTATAAATAACAACAACAACAACAATAAGAACAATAATAATAATAATAGGAGCGTTAAAAACCTCGTTAATTGCGACAACATCAACGACAAACTCAATCCGAAAACCGATAACTGGTCGAGTATATTCGATCGTCCATCGCCGGTATTGAACCATCCCTCGTCCATCTTCGGTCTCAATTTATCCATGGCGGCTTTCCATCGGAATCTTTTCAACAATCCACTCAACAACAACAGCAGCAACAATATCACAAGCTACAATAACATTAATGATATCAACAACAAATCCAAAACAAAATCGCAACAAAACAAAACGCTGCCTTTTATAAACAACATTATCGACAACAACAACAACGCAAACATTAACAACTACATAACAACCAACACTCACAACAACAACAACAACAAATCAACAGCAAGAACACCACTACATCACTAGCCAATCACATCCGCCAATCAAATTCCTCCAGGCCTAAAAATGACACGTGCGAGTATTGCGGCAAAGTCTTCAAAAACTGCAGCAACCTCACAGTCCACCGAAGATCACACACGGGGGAAAAACCCTACAAATGCCAGCTATGCCCCTACGCCTGTGCCCAATCCAGCAAGTTGACTCGCCACATGAAGACCCACAATCGTCAGGGGCGGAATGGCAGCGGGGCCAAATTGGCACCCCTTCATTTGTGTAAGTTCTGCTCGACTCCATTCTCCGTTCTAGCCACCCTAGAGAAGCATATGAAGAAGTGCACCATGAATCAAAACGCTTTCGTCGGACTTTGTAATAATAACAATAACAATAATAATAATAATAATAACAATAATAATAACAATAATAATAATAATGATAATGATAATAATCTTAATAATAATTATATTATTTATAATAATAATATTCATAATAATAATATGATTCCTAACGGTTATAACAATCCGGCTGATTTCATTGAAGTCAATCTGAGGAACGCCATTAAGAATATCAATAAAAAGAGCAACAAAAACGACAATGACCACAACAACAACAACAACAACAACAACAACAACAACAACAACAACAACAACAATAGCATTGGTGATGGCCATGACAACAACAACAACAACTGCAACCTTGATAACATTAAACCCCAACTCAGCATAGATAATACATGCCCCGATGTGTTTAATAATACAACGACGAAAGAACCAAACTACACTTTCAACATTGACAATGACGTCACGAGTAATAAAAACATTGCCTTCTTAACAGTGCCTTCATCATCGTCATCATCAGCAGCGTCATCATTATCATCATCTATGGTGACGTCATCATCATCATCATCATCATCATCAATGGTGACGTCATCATCACCAGTATTATCATCGTTTGCGTCATCGTCGTCACCGCTTTCATCATCGCCATTTCCGTTTCCGCCTATGTTTGCGTCATCATTAGCGCCATCAATATCGTCATCAGCAACATCATCATCGGCTTCCTCATCATCATCATCCTCAGCGGCGTCATCATCATCGTCATCATCATCAACAACATCATTATCAATACTTTCTTCGACTTCTTTGGCTAGATCATCATCGTCTTACTCCTAAAACACGTGCCAGTGGCTAATTTAAATATCACCCATGTATTCAACTCACTCTTATTAGCTTTTACTCAAAAAATAAAATACACACATATAAAAAAATACAAATGTATATACATTGTTATAATGAGGTATTCATACACATACACACAGACACACACATAGACACACACGCACCCACACACACACACATTTCTATATTTGTACTGAACTATCGACTTGCTAAATATATGCTAAGCAACCAATGGTTATCGTCTGTCAAACGCTTGACAATCTTTAAAAAAAGTTCTCTGAAGATTGAAACGAAACAACAAAGTATACAAAACGGAAGATACAAAACATGATAATACAAAAAACAAACGATACAAACACAATGATACAAAACAATACAAACAGATGTAAAACAAGTAAATACAAAGTAATACAAATACAGGACATGAAATACAAAACACAAACACGACGATACAAAACAACGCAAACAAATACAAAACACGATGATACAAAGCAATGCAAACGGATACAAAACATAATTATACAGAACAATACAAACAGTACAAAGAAAAAGATGACGCAAACCAGACTAGAATCAGTTACATCATCTTAAGATTTTTTCCCATGACTTAATATGTTCAAACAAAACACGCACGCACGCACACGCACACATGAGCACACACTCACGCACACGCACGCAAACACACACAAGTGATGGTTGAAGTTTTTTTTAATGTGGTTGATGTCGGATTGTACATTTCTTTTGATTACTAGCAATATAAAGTATACTTATCAATAGTATTTTCATTATAATTTATTACCAATACTACTACTAAAGCATAAGCTGCTGCTACTAACAATACTTCTTCTATTTCTACTGCTGCTGCTACTACTACTACTGCAGCCTTATTCTATTATTTTTTTATTTATTTTAAATTTATTTATTTATCTGTTTATACTACTGTTACTACTGTTATTTTTGTTGTTACTACTACAGTTGCTACATTCGTTCATTGATTCGTTCGTTCGTTCATTCGTTTGTTCGTCCTTTTGTTTGTTGTTTGTTCGTTCTTTTGTACTACAACTGCTACATTCGTTCATTGGTTCGTTCGTTCGTTCATTCATTTGTTCGTTCTTTTGTTCATTCATCTTTCCTTCTGTGCTTTTCCTTTGTACTGCTAATACAACTGCTACATTTGTTCGTTCGTTCTTTCGTTCATTCATCTTTCCTTTCATTCATCCATCTATCCATCAGCACTTATTTCTATTCACATGGATCTTCAGTTTCATTTTGACAATTATTATATGGAGAAATTTTTTTGAAATTTGTCAAATTAAAAAAACATAAACATAATTTTCAATGTTTCGATTTATAATCATTTTTTTACATAAATTTTTTTTACGGTTTTTGGTTTTGGCGTCATAAATTATTTTTATTTACACTAAAAATTCTTGTTGCTTTTTATATGGTGATTTTTTTTAAATTTTTATTATTATTATTACTTTATATTATTGTTTTTTATTATTATTATTAATATTGCTATTGTTGTTTCGTTCAATTCGGCTTTCCAAAAACAATTTTTATTCATTACTTCCCAATCTTGCAGAATAGAAAACAGACCAGTTGGCTATTATTATCGTTGCTACTTTAAAAATATAGAACATCATATAATATTAATAATAACTATAATAATAACCGCAACAAACAATAATATTGTTATTATTATTATTATTAATCATGACAATAATTTTTTAATCGTTCTTGTCAATTCATTCATTCATTTTCTCAACCAGAAGTGTGGGCAAACTACGGCTGGGCCTTGCTCGCCAAAAAAATGATCAAAAAAGGAGCAACAAATCTTAAAAAATTCTCCCCCGGGTCGAAAAAATTTGCTATTTAAGAACATATGCGGCCCTTCAAAAAGTAAAATAGTTCTCAATGCGGCCCTCACAGCAAAAAGTTTGCCCACCCCTGATATATCATTTGACCATATATTTACTTTTGTTAATGACTCTCTTTCCAATATATATATATATATATATATATATATATATATATATATATATATATATATATATATATATATATATAAACATTAAATTTGTTTTTAATTAATTCGGTGGCCTTATACACTCATACACACACACAACACAACACACACATTTTACATATATTTATAAATGTTATATTATGCTTCACTCTATATTATTTAATAATTTTTGTATGTATGTATATATATATATATATATATATATATATATATATACATATATATATGTTATCGTTATTGTTGTTATATATTTGGTGGCATACAGTTAATAAGAACTTAATATATGTATGGTGTTTATTAATGTCATGATATTTGTCATAATAAAATGTCTATTGTATTTATTCATAATTTAAATAATTCTGTATTTGTTCTTTTTTGTCATTCTATAAGCAAGTGCATTTATATCTGTAATAGATTGTGTAATATCATAACATGCCCCATTCGTAATAGTACCTTATGCTATGTAACAAAAATACGACTTTGTATTTAATTTATACTATTTGTATATATATAAACAAACATACAGAAAAACAAACAGATAAACAAACATACAAACAAACACATATACAAAGGAAAAAACACATAAACAAATGAAAAAAACTAAACACACAAACAAACAAGTGAACAAACAAACAGACAAACAAACATTTATAGAAACAGACAAACAAACAAACATATATACCAACATACAAACAAACAAACGCAGAAACATGCAAGCAAACAAACAACCAAACACAGCGCCTGAAGATATATTTGTCCTTCTAGTGCTGATTACTTAGATTTCATCTACTAACAATACTACCATTAGTACCATATCATCATCGTTGTCATCTTCATCATCATCGTCATCATCATTATCGTCATCACACACATAAACAACACACGCACGCACGCACGCACACACATACACACACAAACCCAAACAACACGTATTCAAAAAAATATATACGTACATTTTGTTGTCTAAAAACTGTATTAATTTATACCTGTCAAGTTGTTTTAATATCAATATTTTTATATTTATGAAGCGCTTAGTTTGGTAATAAATATTCCTCCAAGTTGGATGAAGCAGTCGATGGTCGGTTATTTGAATATGAATGTACATACACGCTAAACTATAAACAAATGAATGAATGAATGAACGAACGAATGAATGAATGAACGAACGAACTAAGGAATTAATGAATGAATGAATTAATTAATTAATAAATTAATAAATGATTGAATGAATAAAGAAATTTGCATAAATAAATATATATATACACGCACACTCGCACAAACAAACATCAACAAATCAAACAGGAAACAAGACGAAGTAATATAAACATAGACAGAAATACCAAAAGCAGCAGCATCAGTTGTCCAAAAATAAACGTTTCAACATCCCCATCATCATCCACATTATCATCATCATCAACATCATCATAATCATCATAATCATCATCGACATCAACATCATAACTTCCAGCTATTTTTAAAAGTTGTTTTTTTTGGCAATTTCCATTAAGGGGTTACTGATCTTATTAAGACAAACATTTATTAAAAGAATAATGTGTGTACATACACACGCGCATACACTCACTCACGCACACACACACACACACACACACACACACACACGTACATACACACTTACAAACAACCAATCAATAAAGTAATAACAACCTTTTATATAACAGCCTGACTCCCCGAATAACGGTCTTAAGGTTATCATCTTTTCTATTGTCTGAGTCAAACACACACACACGCGCACACACACACCACACACACACACACAAGCTTTAAACAATGTTTTCCCAGCTCTAAGCTTGATTGTACGACTGTAAGTAAAACCTTTGAAGGAATTGTAAATTCGTTCATAATAAATCATATGTGTGCGATTTCCTGTCTGTAATATATTTGTAAATTTGTGTATGTATGTATGTGTGTATGTATGTATGTGTGTATGTATGTATGTATGTGTGTATGTATGTATGTATGTATGTATGTATGTATGTATTTATGTTTGTTCATGTGTGCGTGTGTGTAGGCATGTGTATTTGGCCGAATATCCAAAGACCGAATGGTTGATCCCCCGTTTGGCCAAAGCCGAAGACCATATACCAAAAAACAATTTAAAAAAGTCATATTTCTGAATGGCAAACAAGCCGTCAAAAAAACATTAGGCGAATTCCAACAATCCTTCATCGAGATAATGTTCATTCAACCTCTTGCCCAAACATAGACAGCCATGAGGGCCAAAATAAAATCTTTGCTAATAATAAATCAACAATTATTGTTTTGGAATTTAAAAAAGGAATGGCTTATTTAAACAGAAATCACACCATTCGTCTAAACGGTCTTTAAAAATGATCGAGTTACACACACACACACACACACACACACAAACTCACGGACACACACACACACGCACGCACGCGGATTCAGAGGTACAGAAGTTTTATCGATTGAACGGTTAGATTAGACTTCATTGAATATCTTAATATCTACATAACTAGTCTGCCTGTGTCTCCATGCTAATGTTTCGACAATGTTTATCAGCCACCACCATCATTAGCATCATCATTATCAATGTCATCATCATCATCATTATTATCACTATCTTCACCGTCGTCACCATGATCGTCGTCATCATTATTCAGCCACAAGTTACATAAAATACGAGTCGTTAAATGTAACCAAACCATTGTCTTCTTCATCATCATCATCATTTTTTTACAATTATGTGGGGTGGGCGTGTGTGTGTGTGTGTGTGCGCCATCATCATCATCACCGCCCACAGAAAGTCTGATTTCGGATAAAGATTTAATTGTAGCAAGAAGACACTTAAAACACGGCCCGATCAATATCAGCCGTAGATAAAAACCCCGTCAAGCTAATACTACTACTGCTGCTACTACTATAACTTTTGCTGCTACTTCTATAACTTTTGCTGCTATTTCTACTGCTGCTACTACTACTGCTGCTGCTACTACTACTACTACTGCTAATACTACTACTATTGCTAATACTACTACTGCTGCTACTACTACTGCTGTTTGCATTATATCATCATTATCATCATGACCTATTACTCATTATTATCAATACCATCGCGGTTACAGTTATAATCTATTATCTTCGTCGTTATCTACAATTTCAATGTCATCATCATCGTTTTTTAGTAACCTTACATTAAATCTCTCTAATCGCGAGATTCACAATCGATATTCAAAGGCTTAAACCTCATTACGCACGCACACACACAAACACACACACACGTACGCACACACACACGTACGCACACACACAGACAGATTCACACTCATCAAAAAACATACAAATCTCCTTTGAACGAGGAGTATTTGTTTTTTGTATACAATACCATTTAAAAATACGACAAACGCAATTTTATCGAGAATAATTATTTCTCACTTAATAATGACAATAAAATCAATAATAATAATAATAATAACAATAGGAATAATAATAAAAACAAAACAAATAAAACTCATAACACCAAACAGAGTATATTATTATTACAACTTCGGTGACTTTTGATTGTATGATGACTTCAAACAATGAAGCAAAGTTTTTCATTTTTGATTTTGAATAAAAAACACAACATTAAAAAAAACTTAATATACAATAATAATACAAATAATAATAAATGATTATTATGAATAAAACATGAACTTAAATATGGAAAGCAGCGAATGAATGAATGAATGGTGTAACTAAGTGACTCGAAGCAGCAAGCAGTTTATTTAAAAAAATAATAACAACAAAAATAATATATATATATATATATATATATATAAAATGTATGTAAATTTTGAAAGTGACAGAAAAGACTAGATGATGATAATAAAATAAAATTATGAAATAAAGAAAAGAATTATATTATAATAATAAAATAATTATTATTCATATACTTATTATTAGTAATAGTAGCAGTAATAATAGTAATGTGTAGTAGGATTACATGGCAAAATATGACAAGAGTAACTAATGTATTTTCTGAATGAGAAACCTATTTGAAATTTTGAAAGTTTAAGATAAAATTATTCTTCATAGTATTATTTATTTATTAAAAAGCGAATGCTCTCGTGTGTGTGTGTGTGTGTACGTGCGTGTTATCAATTAAGTTATTATCATCATTACCTAAAAATGCGTTTAAATTCACTTGGATGAAAAGTTAAAAATTCTACTCTGAATAAAAATATAAATAATAGCGACAATAATAAAATAACAATAATAAAATAATAATAACTATTAACAGCAATGATGAGAATTTAAAAAAAAAAGAATTTTTAAATAACAGGAATAATATTAAAATCCTTTTCAATGTACTAAATTTCAACGAGTTTGAGGTGGCAAAATTAAAAAGAAAAAATCATCAAAAGGCACACAGACTAAAAAAAAAAATAAAGAAAAACAAAAACGAAAGCTACGAATGCGAAAGTATTTTTCCGTATGGGTGTATCTATGTTTGTGTATCTATGTGTCAATATGTATCAATGAGTGTGTATCTATATGTATGTATCTGTGTGTATGTATCTATGTGTCAGTATATGTGTGTGTTATCTGTGTGTATGTATCTCTGTGTCTGTATCTCTGTGTGTGTATCTATGTGTATGTATCTTATCCATGTATTTGTATGAGTGCACCCACCTGCTTATATTATTCTACAGCAATATAGTGTATAGTCATAAAAGACATGCGTTTGGGTGAAATTTATGGAAGATGTGATTGTGGAAAATCAATAAAACAATAATAATAATAAATAATAATAACAATAATTATAATTATTATAATTAATATTATAGAGATAATAAGTAAAAGATGATAGGAAGCATGGATTGGGGTGAAAATAGAGGTGAGAAAATGTTTAATAGGCTACTGTTATATATTAAATTATAAAAAATCTACCTGCAAGAGAGAGAGAGAGAGAGAGAGAGAGAGAGAGAGAGAGAGAGAGAGAGATTATTATAACCACATAATTATCTAAAAGTAATAAGTTGATATACCAAAAAGATGAACATACATGATTAAGAATATTTTAAGCAAAACTTAAGGAAAAAAAAAACAAAGAGATAATAGTTATATGGCTGTTTATTGTTTTTTAAAATCTATCCATTCATACAAAAGAAGCGAATGAGCAATAAAAGAAAATAATAAAGTAATAATAATAAACAACAATAATAATAATAAATGATAATAATATAATAATAATAAACAACAATAATAATAATAAATAACAATAATAATAACAGAGTATACAAACGCTCGATGTTTATTGAGTGAACAAGCGAATTAAAATGCTAATTAATTAAACAATAAATAAATAAATTAATTAATTAAAATGAACTTCACATCAGACGCGAATACTACCCTAGCCACGCATAAGAATAGAATAGCAAATAATATTTCATAATAATACTCAAGAGATATGGACTGAAAGTTTCAATACCGTTACGGGCAATCAACCACCATGGACTTCATCATTTCATCTCCATCATCATCAACGGTATCGTCGTCAGCATCGTCACCGAATACTATGCTCTTTGCTGTTTTAAAGACGCTAACGAAGTTGTAGCAATGCTAATATCATGTAATATGGACAATTAAGTAAATAATAAATCTATATATATATATATATATATACATATATACATATATATATATATATATATATTCATACCATACTATCTCTATACATATATTCATATATATGTATAATAATCATACATTTGTATAACACACACACACACACACACACACACACACACACACACACACACACACACACACACACACACACACACACACACACACACATATATATATATGCTTACTTATAATACTCTGCCAAAAGCAAGTATATATTATATGTTCTGTAAGTAAGAGGAACAGATGAACTAGTAAATTACTATGCATATGACAGTGATAAAATATTAATAATTATAATATAATAATGATATAAATTATTATTATTATTTTTATAACTAGATATTTTTTTCTTTTGGCAAAACAGACAAAATAAAATTAGCAAGTTTAGCAGCAAAGAGAGAGAGAGAGAGAGAGAGAGAGAGAGAGAGAGAGAGAGAGAGAGAGAGAGAGAGAGAGCAGTGAGAATTGACAATTTAATAATCAAAGATGACTAACAATAATAACAAAAAAAAAGAAAAACCATAAATAATAATAATAAAAGCGATAATAATAATAACGATAATAACAATAAAATATCGAATTTAGACAGTTAAATTAAAATGAATTAATAAAAAAATGAATATAAAGAACTGAATTGTAATTTAGTTTAATATATATATATATATATATATATATATAATCTGCTGTGTGTGCGTGCGAGCGCGTGCGTGGCTTATATTCCACCATTATTTGTTATAACATCCTCACTCAATTGATATTTTAATCCTTATTATTATTATTACTATTATTATCACAATTATTATCATTATTATTGTTAATGCTAAATTACTCCTTGGACTGTTCTAATATATATATATATATATATATATAATATATATATATATATATATATATATATATAAATAAACAAATATAGGTATATATACATACAATACATATACATAAAATACATACGTACATGTGTATATGTAGAGAGAACGCACGTGACTAAAAATAGTGGCTGAATGAAGGTAACAGCAATGCATAATGATGCCGTGAATAGTAAACAGGTGGTTGAAATAGTAATAATAATAATAGTAGTAATAATAATAGTAATAATAATAAGTTTTCTGTTCATTCATCATCATATCCCATATTATATTACATTACCATGTTACAAGACAATCAATTATATAATTACATTACATTACATTATAGCTATTAAAACTCCTTTGTAACACTACATAAAACATTACAAATCAGCCAAACATGTGATATAATATCATACGTGTATCATCTGATATCCATCTATATCAATCGATTCCTAGTGCAATAACTATGTAATGACATTGACCAAAGTAGCAGCAATTGACCATGGCATCATCATCTACAATGAGTAAAACGACTGACATTAAGATAGCATTAAGCAAGTGGCATCAACGCCATGCGGCGTCATCATCATCATCATCATCATCATCATCCATCTTTAACGTCATCATTACGTCAAATTACACGCTCCACTTACAATGCTTCGTTTTCGTTGTAAATATTATCATCGTAATAGCAAAAATAATAACAATTGCAACAACAATAACAATAATAAATATTATTATTATTATTATTATTGTATTATTACTATCGTTCATTTTAAGAATAGTAAGAAAAGCAGTAGTAGAAGAAAAATAATATATATATATATATATATATATATAAACAAATAAAGTAATGAAAGTAAAGTTTAGCTTTTTATACATACAAAAATCAACTTGTTAACAGTTCGTATATCTTAATTTAAATGTCAATCATTGAAAGTAGTAGTAGTCGTAATAGTAGTATGGACTGTAGTATTTGTAGTAGTAGTAGTAGTAGTAGAAGTAGTGGTAGCAGTAGTTGTAATAGTGGCTGTAGTAGTATTAGTAGTGAGTTCTCTTTCAGTTTGCAATCACATAGGTTCTCTGAAATAAAAATTAAGTAAGGTAAATAAACGAATTTGTGAGATTAACTGAAAATGACAACCAAAATGAACCAAATGACAAATGAATAACAAAGGAATAATACAACTGAATAGAACAAAATATTTGAAAGAAGTAACATAAATCAGAGTAAATAATATATGTAAAAATAGAATAAGTAAAATAAATACGGAAACCAACATAGAAATTAAAAGCGCTACACCTCCATCATCATCCTCATTATCTGAATCGAACGAAGGAGAGTTAAATATCAACTAAATAAAATCAATTTATTATATTCATATTAATTTTATCAATCAATCAATCAATCAATCAATCAATCAATCAATCAATCAATCAATCAACCAACCAGTCAATAACTCACTCACTCATTCACTCTCTTACTCACTTTCTCACTTAATCAGCCAATCCATCATTTAATCAAAAAACAACAACAATAATGATAACAATTATGACGATAATACAAACAACAATGACGTTGGCAACCAACAATTACAAAAAAACAACAACAACGATAATTAACAACAACGACGACGGCGACAATGATGACGAAGAAGAAGATGATGACGGTAATTACTTTTTCTTGCTGAGTGTGAACATCTTCCTCTTCTTTGGTTCATCGGCAGCAGAGGAGGACTTGGGATCGGCTGCTGATGTTGCAGGAAGTGTTTGTGACCTGGATGGATGCGATGAAGATGAGTGCGCCCCGGATGCTATGTTGATCTTCTCTATCCAGACATTCATCTCCTCCTGGTTTCATTTGTTTTTGGTTGTAAACGAATGAGAATATACTGCCTTTACAGATGTTTTAATAGCTATCAAAGATGCAGACAACAACAACAGCAACAAGACCAACTTCATCTCGGCACTGGAATAGATACTCAGCACCGGATGTGAACTTGAGGTTGAAGACGTTCGGTCGTTTGTTGTAATCTGTGGCCGGACTAGCTACTGAACCTTCCAACTCCAATGGTAACTCGTGATGGAAGTAAGTCTTTGGATCCTGAATATATATATACATATGTATGTGTGTGTGTGTGTGTGTGTATGTGTGTGCGTATGTATGTATGTAATTTACGCATATGTATGTCTACCTATGCATGTATGCATGTATGTATGTGTATGTTTAAGCAAATTTTCAAACGACCACACCACTAAACAACGCTAGTCTGATGAAGAATGCAACGAAACATGAATGAATTAGACAAATGATGATAATGGAACTAACAGATTTAGCATGCTTCTGGTCTTTGTAGAACGACAATGACTTGTTGGCTAGTGCTACGAACATCTTCTCCCACGATCTTTAGGCAGGTATTAATACGTGAATGAATGAATGAATGGATGGATGAATGAATGGATAGATGAATGGATGGGTGTGAATTGTTAGATGAATAAATGAGATGGTTGAAATGTCAGCACGATTTAATTTATGAGTTACCCAACTGAAATGACGATCAACAAATCTAATCATAAAACTAATTGACTAATTGACCAACAAACCAATCAACCAACCAGCCAACCATCAACCAGCCAACCAATCAACCAGCCAACCATCAACCAGCCAACCAACCAATCAGCCGACCAACCAACCTATTCGTAGCTTTCTTAGTAGCATTCTCCCAGAGGTGCTTTCTTGAAAGAAGATTCTCGTGTGTGACTTGCTCAATAACGACCTTCTGGGCTGAAATATTTGAGAAAAATTAATTAAACAAATAATTAAAAATTAATTTAATTAACTAATAAATGATAGCTGAAATTAAATAAAGCGTAAATAATAGGTATTTCAATAGGAAAAAAATATATATACCGTGAGTACATACATTTGTAAGTTGTAATGAGGACAATAATTAAACAATATATGCAACACTTTTTGAAATTCTGCTTAATAGAATGAATGCAAGAACAAGCTAACAAAATATAAAAATGACAAACTGAAAAAGAGAATAAGCAGAAAGAATAGCTCAAAAATATAATCAAAGAAGCAAATAAATACATCAGTCACTCAACCAGTCAACAGTAACTGAAACAAACTGCATCGAAAAAAACCATAACAACATAAAACGTTATTAATACTCATTAAGATTCAACAAAATTAATAACTTCAACATGAGCAACCCAACCCAAGCTACTGATGACAGATTGATTAACGTGTAATGACCGTGAAATAATGAAAACCAAGCAATGAAATGAGATCAAATGGAACGTATGAAAAACAAATTAAACGGTATTGTTATAATAAGCAAGTTAATCTTAAATAGTTTCATTATGTGCGTGTGTGTGTGCGTGTGTGTGTGCGTGTGTTGTGAAATAATCAATTTTTACTGCCAAATTAGACCATCAAGCACAGTGTTGACATCAATGAACCAAATAACATTTTTCCTTCTCAAAAGACGTCACATTCAATTATTATTAAACTAGACCAACAGAATGTTAATGAAAGTTCATGAACGTTCCAACAACAAACTTATCAAAACAAAATAATATAATGGCCAAAAAATAAAGTAATAACGAAATGAAGTAACAACAAAAGCAACAGGAAACAACAGAATACCAATAAAAGCAACATAAAACCAGACCAATCAAAGCATCCTCTTATAGCAAGGGTTCATCAATATGCTCATAATGTTAATAATAATAAAAGCTGATTTATTTGCACATAATAATGAGGATGGCTAATTAATATGTGCATATTGATGAACTATAAACAAACCCATGGCGGTTGTGGGCGAGACTGGCTCATGAAGAGCTGGCCTGCTCGATGCCGATGCACTCTTCACCTCTGAACGCATGTCAATCAACATCATCATCGTCGTCATAATTAACAATTTCATCATAATCAAAATCATCATCATTATCACAGTCATCTGCAGCAACTAATCACTACCGTAGCTGTTACAATCATTGTCAGCAAGAACATTACTAAAAATATTTCTGCCATCATTTTTGTTTCATCCAAATGAAATCAACCACAGAACGCATGATGACATTTTCAACAGGACTGCAGGACTCACCAACATTCACAACATACATTCCTCTACGAGACATTAATTTTAAACGTATCCCTATCATATAGCATGGAATTTCAAAAAAACTTTTAACGTTTTTCGTCTGTGGGATGGCAAAAACAACCTGTCACATTTCATTACAGCACACATCACGTATACACAAAGTCGCAACATCATCAATTGCAACATAAAAATTACTACAAACAACGACAGTTACACTACCAACGGCGTCAACATCTACTACAAAAAACGCAACAAAAAAACAACAAACAGCCAACCTTCAGCTTGTGGAACTTCGGGTTGTTGTACTTCAACAGGTGACTGTGGTTCTTTCACCGGCGATACTGGCTCAGGAGTTGGCGGTTTCCTACAAGTGCAAGTGTTTGATCAATCAACCAACCAATCAAACACTCAATCAATCAATTAACCAACCAACCAATCAAACACTCAACCGATCCACCATCAATCAATCAATCAATCAATTAACCAACCAACTAACCAAGTGACCAGCCAACCAAACACACACTAACTCAATGCAAGAACACTACTAACGAAGGTTCTTCAGGGGGTAGGAACTCCCTGATGTAGACCTCCTTGAATGATGCAGGAAGTGGTGGAAGGGTGGCATCCGGATGTTCACGCATGTATTCATCCCTCTTCCTCTTCTGTACCTCCCTCATCTCAAACTTTAAGATTCAACAAAAGTTGACAGTCACCAAGACCAAAACCAAGAAACTATATAACAACCACAAAAAGATGACAACCAGGGCTGTGGCGTCTCGAAACAACATCTCGTCTCAAGAAGAGGTCTATACCGTCTTGGTCTTGCCTCCAGACGTCAAAAATTTTAGACTTGACTGTCTCATCTTGTCTTAAAACAATGTCAGTCTTGGTCTCGTTTTTTAAACTGCCTTGATACGTCTTGAAATCAAGAGGCAGATAGGAAATTATTTTGTTCACATACAATTTTTTTAAATCCTTTTTGATAAATTTCTTCTATAAGCAAACATTAAATATATATTAGAGCATTTGTGAGCATTAACAACGAGTGATTGATTATGCATGCGTGCGTGCACCAGATATTTTCAAAAACATATTTCTCATTCATAGTCCTTTTAGTGTTAATGTCTGACATAGTAATTTTAAAGTAATTATGACATAGTCAAGATAATCCCATCAATCAAAATTCTTCACGCCTCAAATCACCTCGCATAAAATACGCTCCTGTACATGTGAACAAAGGTATAATGTGCACATGCGTACACACATAAACATATGCAGATACTTACATAAATAAATAAATGTATATTCAAACTTAGATAATAAAAATTCAACTCAAATCTGATTTTTTTTCAAAATTCTCATTGATTTTTTCAAATTTTGTCTCGAATTTTTCATCTTGTCCTCGGATGTATCGAGACATAAGACATCTCGTAAGGTCTCGTCTCGGTCTTGAGCTCTCAATGTCTTTGTCTTGCCTTGTTTTTAAAAAATACTCTTTTCACAGCCCTGATGACAACCACAAAAAAATGACAACAGACCATGGTTAATCTTTCGAGAGCTTGGAATCTTTCTTCTTGTGTAGCAGCAGCCTTTTCGAAGGACTCGTGTTTCTTCAGCAGAGCCTCAACTGCATCGAGTGTCTCCCCGAACTCTTGACTAGTCACGTACGGTTCGTGGGCTGCCAGCCATGAATCGGCAACTGTGGCATCTCTTGCAAACTGGTACACTTCCAAAACTGGCGGAATTATTGTGGTAGTTTCGAGTGTTATATCATAAACAATAGAACATAAGATATAAATGACATAGAGACTAGATAAAAATTAACAATGGTTTAAAAACGTGAACTGACTGAGTTGTAGGTACTCCCATTTGTCCTTCCACTGATCCATCATGTCACCTCTCTGCGTGGCCAGCTGCAACAACTTCTCACGAACCTGTATTCATATATCATACAACAATAAATTCAAATATTTTTAAATAATCACAAAGACACTAAAATAAATATAATATAAAATTATAAATAAAATAATAATAATAGAGTAGGATAAAAATGACAATCTACCTCTGGAGATCTGTGGTGCTTCCTAGCAAGCAGATCCTTGCCTAGGTTGACGCAGATGGCAAAGTTTTCATCACGGGCATCTATCTCTGCTTTCAAACTCTGGTGGTTACTCATCAGTAGTTCGACACCTGATACATCTCTCGGTTTGTCCTGCGATTGCGCCTGCCTCATCATGTCGTTCATCCAGTTCGTTAGGTCTCTTGCCATACCGAAGAATCTGTTGTTGTTGTTAGTTTGGTAAGAATAACAATTCCAACTTCGTAGCATATTTATAAGTTTATTTTGTTTGTTTTATTCCACTTAAAAACCATTTATTATTCATTTTCCAACAGGAAAAACTCATAAGAAAATTGTTAAACATACATTTATTCTCCAAACATTAGTTGACCAACGAATTCATCAGCTAACGATTTTTTGTATTCACCCAGTAACTCAATCAAGCCCTACCAACCAATCAACACAAACCAACCTATAAAGGTCATTGGAGTCACCGAGTGCCGATTTTCTGAGGTCAGCCTTCAACTGAAGGTTCCTCCATGCATTTACGACGTCCATCTCGTGCTGCTGGATGTCTCGCGCCTTCTCGCCTGAATATGCCACAATCAGCTGGGCTGCTTCCTCTTGCACTTGTTGCACCTGGTCAGGTCAGGCGCATTTAATAATATTTTTTATTTTTCATTATTTATAATTTGACTTCGAATTTTTTGACTTAAGTTAATCATAATTAGCACTGCTGTCGATTATTTTTACTGACTGAAGAGTATATGTGAAAAAAAAGACCTGATAGCAGAGAGCCACGAGCTCGTGTTCGAAAGTTGCATGTCTTCTCTGGAGGGCTGCCGTTGATTGTGGATCTCTGCCAACATCATCCAATATCAACAGCTCCTTCTCCTATTTTCATCAAGAATAAATATAATTATTTACATTTCTACTAGAAAAAATCAAATCAAATAACACAAACAAAGACGACCTCATTGAACAACCTCCAAAAAACTGACTAACATGTATGCGGTCAAGGGTCTCCTTACAATCGTTGAAGAACTTGAAGAGCTCCCACGAGGCCTGCAGCATCTGCGTCCTGGTGTCCATCAACTCGAGGAGATCGGTCCACGACTCATTGATGCCATCTTTCCACTCGGCTATAGTAGCAGCGTCCGTGTGACCGGCATGGATCAGTGCATCACACGTCCCGTTCACTACCAACACCCTCTCCTGCCCGACTGTCTCCGTGTCTCTCGCGAATTCTTTGAATTTGTCTCTTAACATCTGTTGTGGTGGGCAGTTACATGGGTGAATCCAACGAAGAACCAATGAATTTATAATTTTAAAAATCATATCTAATGAATTCATTTAACTGTTAGATCACTAAACAACATGATTTAACCAAAAAATCAGCCTCAGACTAATCACTCACAATTCAGCCACTGATGCTAGTTAATAACAGGTCAGCTAACTTACAGTGACATGTTCGAAATCTTGACCCAATTCATGAGAGCCAGCAACGACTTCTCGTTCGGCAATCCACTGCTCTATATCCTCGATGTCTCTATTCAGCAGGTACAACTTCAAAACTTCATCCAACTTCACCTTGCGATCGCCGGCCAGGTCCTTCAAACTGGCGTACAACTTGTCCACTTGTGCCTGCTTCACGGCAATGGCATCGCTGTGAAGAAAGCAAATAATAAAGTGAATATAATGATCATGGAGTTTTAAGTTAAAATTTGGATTAGTTGGTTAGTGTAAAGTTGTGAAGCGTGCACTAACACTCAACCAGATGTACACAAATCTAAATGAAGCTCACGGCATCAAAATATTTTGTTGTTCATTCAATTTATATTGAAAGTCAACATTCACGTTTGGCGAGCAGCGCTGCTCCATATTTAGGCCATGTAAAAATATGCCAATCGGCAATTGAAATAACAACAAACATTATCACTATGACTTCAAACAAGTGCAAAAAATTTAATCATCATTTCTGTCAGCATTATGAATGTTGTCATTATCATCTTCATCAAATTAATCATCGCCGCCTTCACTATCATTCAAATCATTCCAATCATTCCAATCATCTCAATCAATCAATCAATCAATCAATCAATCAATCAATCAATCAATCAATCAATCAATCAATCAATCAATCATCTCAATCCATCCATCCTCGTTTATAGTCTCCATCCGTTATTGATCGGACTCATTCCAACAACCATCTCAATCATCTCAACCCTAAACACCAGCACCAGCTCCACTTCATCAGCGACCTACCAACCTATCGGGATGCTTGTTATCGATGAGGTATCGACTCCTCTCTGACAGCTGTCTGATCGTGTCGGCGTAATCCTCTACAGTCTTCTCGACGTTGGCATGTTTCTTGATCATGTTCATGGCTCCATTCTCATCCTTTGCCCTGTCCTCTGAGATCATGAAGAGCTCCTGCTCGCCCATCCAAGCCTCACATTCAGCAGCATCGAAGAAGTACTGTTTAACAATGTGTGTCATACAGTTATTGTACTTTTGTTAAATTTGTATTTTATGCAATAGCGGTGTTAATTATAACAATTGTAATCAATATTAAGGAGTTGTGGCGATATCTTGAAATAATATTCATCATTATGTTACTAACAATATCAACAATTATTATCAAAAAGAATGCTGAAAAAAATTTAGACATAAAATAAATTAACCCATGAACTGTACTTAAAATAACTTTAAAAATGTTATTATTACCGTCAAACTATCACATTCTAGTTAAAAAAATATTTGTTAAAAAATAAAAAGTTACTAAAGTTACGAACTTGCTGAGCCTGTTCAGAGAGAGCCAGCCTATACTTGCGCTGCTCAATGGCCTCAATTAGCTCCTCCCACCTCTTGTTCAGGTCGGCGATCAGCTGTTGGAACTCCTCCTTCTGTGGATGCCCCTCCTCGATCAGGCACAACCCACTATCTACTACGGCTATGATTGACGGCTCGTGACTGTCAATCTCATTGCGAAGTGATTTGTTCTTAGACTGTAGCATCTGGACACTGTTGGTGGTGGTGACGTTGGTAGTATTGTTTCTGTCATTGTCAGTGATGGTAACGTGCATGCATATTCAACTGATTTAATATCGTTAAATCTTTACAGTTATGAAAAGAGACTGCTAGCTATTTATATTTCCATCCATCCTTTTTTTCCCCAGTCATTCTCAAACTTAAGCGACTGCAGGGGATGTACAACAGACCTAAGTAGTGAGTTGCCATAGTTAGTAGACCTGGCTCTTGCGAGTCGTTCGCTGATCCAGAGTTTCTCATCCTCGACATCTCTCAGGAACTGATGCACCCTCTTCACACGGTTCAACTTCTCTCTCCTCTCCATCAGCGGCTGCAGCATCTTACGGAATCTATCATTTTGTTGAATGTTATTCATCCTTTTCATTATTAATGCGTCTACGTTAGGTGTCAAAGCATGAAATGTAAAATCAACTAATACAGTTGAATCGGTTTACATGAAAAATTTATTCAGGAGAAAACTACCCAATCAACCCACCAAGCAATAAACCTATTGAAAATCAGCCAACAAATCAATCATCTGACTGACAAACTAATCAACAAAAAGCGAATCAATCTACAATCAGTCAATCAACCAATTAATCAACCGACTGACAGACCTATCTTCAACTCTGGCCTTCTTCTGGGCAAGTTCTTCAGACTTGCTTGGATCAATATCTGACAGGTACGGTGCCTGTGTTTCTAATGCCTTCACTTGTTCTTCCTTCAATTTCAACTGGCTTTCAAGGATCTGTTAGACATCAAAGGTGCGTTACAAATTATTCATTCCCCACACGAATAATCATAAACTCGCAATATAACAGGGCTGCATTTTAAACGTTAAAAACTTGCAAATTAGGAGATATAAAAACTCAAAATGTTAATAGTCATCTCAATAAATACTAACATTCTGTTTCTGAACGAGAAGATTAACAGTAGTAAGATCGTGCCCGACATCCTCTGTGACGATCTGAGATTCAATCTCGGTGATCCATCCGTCGATATCATCACAACTCTGCTCGTATAACTGTGGTCTGTTGGCGTCAAACAGTTTCTGGCCTTTCGTTGAAACTGTGTCTTGCAGTTCATTGAACTGCAATGAAAGTTCTTCCAACTTGGGCTGCACCTCCTAAGTGTGTGTGTTAATGCTATCAAGTCAAACAATTGTGCCAGATAGATAGATAGATAGATAGATAGATAGGTAGATAGGTAGATAGGTAGATAGATAGATAGATAGATAGATAGATAGATAGATAGATAGATAGATAGATAGATAGATAGATAGATAGATAGATAAATAGATAGATAAATAGATAGATAAAGAAATAAAAACTACTTAATAACTAAAAAATGACTATACAAACAAACAAACCTTAGCCAGTTCAGGCTTTTCAGCAATAAGTTTTTGACCATCCTTCAATAATTTTTCAAGTTGATCCTTGTTTGATTTGATCTCAAGCTCAAAGGCCTGGTGCCTCATGTACTTGCTGTGTATGCTCTTTGCATCTCTGTATGTGTCGTCTTGGGCGGCTATTGATTTCTCACCTAGCCAATCTGTCAACTGCATCCAAAATATGACAAATGTATCGACAACAGCACCACCACTACCAGCAACAACAACATCATCATCAACAACAACAACAGAAACAAACAAAGCAACAAACAAACAAACAAACCTCATCACAATCCTGCATGAACTTCTGGAGATCTCTAAAGTCCTTCAACTTATCTAACTTTTCATCTGCCTTCTGTCTATTGGCATCACGTCTGTAAAACAAAAATAACATTCAGAAACAGCTTTTTCATGGCCAATTAATGACAACTATTTAAATTCATTTTGAAGAACGGTCCTAACCTTCCCTTGAGACTTTCTGTCTTCTTCCTTATTTTATCAGCAGCAAAATGATTGGAATCAACCAATCTGCTTGCAAAGTTCTGGACAATGTTTATCTTCTCGTCATTAGCATCTAATGTCTTTATGAATGCTTCCACTTGTCGGATTTGATTGTCACACGACTCCGATGTCAGCTGTCAGGTACAGCGTAGAGTTGCAAATGATTCAGATTAATTCCATTGATAAGTGTAAAATTGAGTTTTCTATTAAGATGACCAATGAGCATACACGTGATGAAATGACGAATTTAAATAAAAATTAAAGATGTCAACATTTGTCATGAATACGAATGAGTCAATGAATAAATTAATAACTGCTTACCTGGCGAGCCAAGCTGGGAGATTGCTGATGTGTGGAGGAAAAATAAATGAACATTTGAATGAATGAAAATAATTTACTGTTAATAATATCTCTTGATTATGTGACTAACTAACTCCACCTGACTAGTTCTACTTTATATGAAAATATTTATATTTAATATTTATAAATATTTAACAAAAAATAAGAAAATATACACACGGGCAGTGTCTCTTTGTTGAGGAAGTTCTCCTGTTCACCTAACAATATCTCAGCCTGCTTGCAATCTCTTAAGAACATCTAAATGGAAAACATTGCACAGGCATTATTTTTTCACTCAAAAAGTAAATAAATTAATAAATAAATAAGCAAATAAATGAATAAACAAATAAATAAATATATATATATATATATACATATATATACATAAATTTATATATATCAATCAATCAATCTTCGTTTTGCGTCCAGAGTCTCGGTTCCCCAAGGTAGAACGTATAAATTTATAAATTTATATATATAAATAATACAATTACTAAATAAGCCTTGAAAGGCCAAATAACAACCATGATTAAAAATTTATTTACATTTGTGAGGAAGAATTGAGCAAACTAAAAAAAAACTAATGGATAAAAATATAAATTCGTAAATGAATACATAAATAAATAAATACATACATACATACATAAATAAATAAATACATAAATAAATAAATACATACATAAATAGATAAATAGATAAATACATACATACATACATACATACATACATACATAAATAAATACGCAACAAAGAAAGAGTAACGAAGGAGTGTGCAGTAGACGAACCTGCAGATTGAGATTTTGAATGAGGAGATTCTGTTTGTTCTCCCACATCTTCTTGAGGTCATGCCATCCATCATCTAGTCCCTTTAATCTCTGCAAGATCCACGATTTCCATCATTTATAAGATCACGCGTTATCATATTCACATGTGTATACATTTTTTAAACTAATCTATTTCATCACTATATTAAGATGATATAAAAAAAATTCAGTTACATACTTGGTGCTGAAACTTAAACTAATAAATTCGTGACCATATAGTAAATAGATCCTTAAAACTAGCAACAACATATTTTAAAAATGTTTATTTTAATCAACAATCAATGAAACGAACAAGCAAAAAAAATCCACAAACTTCTCTAAGGAACATGTATTGTACATCTTGCTGTCCTTCTACCACTTTACTACCATAGTCCTGTAATAATTCACATGTGCATTACTATTTGAAATACCAACGCCAAAATTTACATAATACATCATTCATTCATTCATTCATTCATTCAACCATTCATAAACAATCAATCCTGTAAACAACCAAATAACTTAGAATAAAGGATTATATCGATGAGAAAACTATCCCAACCAATCACTAAAGCGGATGCCACAAGCAAGCAGCCAACCAGCGACCAACCTTCATCTGGTCATATTCGGGAGCATAGGCGTCTATCTCAGTTTTGATCTGGGCATGTTGCTGCAGCAGATCCTCGGCCTCTGCAACATCATTTGGAATGCTCTCAGATGCGATGGACATCTGCGTTTTGGTCAGCCACTGCTGGAAGTGGTCGAGGTTCTGTAGGAATTTCTGCAAGTCACTTGCTTCTCCCAATTTTTCATCTCTCTCTTTCAACTGTGATTCATTTATTTATTCAGTTTCATTTATAATAAACATTTATAGGCTAGGCTAATATTGATTTTTTATGAATATGTGTGAATTAGCGTTGAGTAAAATATAGAAAAATTTAATAGCTATATATAGTTCTATCAAGAGTTTCTTCAAATGCATCCTAGCCAATAAAATAATGATTTATATAACCAATTGCAAACATGATAAAAAGTAAAAAAAAAAATAGAAATTTTAGCTATCAATATATTAAATGCATCAAATGATATATAAAGATGAAACAAAACAAAAATATACGAACCATGAGTCGGAGATCTTGCCACAAGTTTGTAATCTGATCCATCTTCTCCTGTATAGCCGGTGCCTCCTCTGGTTTCAACGCTGACAACTTATCTGCTTCTTCTTGTAGGGAAGCTTTCTGTTGTTTTTTTGGAGGTAGTTGAGTAGACAATTTTAAAAACTATGTAAATTATTAAATAAAAAGAATATTCGAAAGAAAATCAAAGAGAAAAAGCAAGGAAGAAGTAGAAATAAATAAGAGACAAAATAAATAGGTAGACAAAAAGAGACAGACAGACAGAGAAAGAAAGGGAGAGAGTGAGAATGAGGAAGACAAAAAAAAACATGTTGAGACCAACCAACCTTAGCATCAATAGCTGCAAGATCTCTTTCGAGACCACTGAGTCTCCTCTGTAATGTGATGATACTGCCGAGGTCGTTGCCCAGTTCGTCTGTTGACTCTATCAATTTGGCTTTATCTCTGATCCACGTCTGTTTCATCGATGAAGATGATGACAGTGATAATATAATACAACGTGTGACGGTGGTTTTGTTGTGTTGTTGCAGATGTAAATTGCAAGATCGCTGATGTTAACTAGGAATGACAACCTCAAATATTGTACTGACCATAGTTTCAGCGGATTCAATATGGAATGTGTTGACGTCATGAGCAAGCTGAAGAGCATCCTTCTTATCATCAGCTATCTTCTTCAGCGCCATCCACCTAGGATGAGTGAGTAATTTTTATTCAGGTGAGACTATAGTTATAATGGTCCTCAACGCCTCACATTTATAGACATTATATTTTAAAAAAAGGAATCACACATAGATAGTTCAATGCATCCGAATATTTGCATCAATGAAACACATCACTTCATTCCAATTCATTATCAGACTGCATCAACCCAATCCCACCATCCTCGCTAACTTCTCATTGAGCATCTTCTCCTTACTGGCCACTTCGACCGAGTTAGGGTGCTCGTTGTCGATGAGTTGACTGGACAGCTGGTTGACCAGGCCTACTTTGTCCAATGTTGTCTTCATCTCTTGGTCGAAGGTGTTGTACCTCGCTTTCTGTATCTCAACTTCTTCAATGTCCTCTGAAGCCACCATCGTGTGCAGGAGTTTCTCCTGGTTGAAAGTTTCATTTAGTGAAATAAGTTTGAAGTTATTCAACAGAAACAGTAAAAAACAAAGAAAACAGAAATAAGAACGTGAGAAAATAAATACAAAAAATTAGCAACAGCAAAACAAAATCGGCCACAACGCTAACCTTCTCGGTGATCCATTGTTCAACGTTATTGGATTCATTGTAGAGTTTGTAGAGAGCAAGGGCATCCAGCAACCTCTGTTTGCGTATGTTGGCTAACTCCAAAAGTTCCTGATATCTCCTATCTATACTGGCAAGTCTGCTCGTCACTTCTGGAGATTCGCGATCCTGTACGAAATTTCAAACTACGGTCAAGTGTTTGTTCTTCTAATTTTATTTGATGGAAAATAAAGTGATATTCAGCTATAGATATAAATTTTACATTTTCTAGAAATTGTATTGCCATATTTGCATTACATTTGACAAACCCTTATTTCACGTCCAACTTTGCAATAATGAATTACAATTTTAAAAAAAAAAAGAGTATTTTATTTCCATGAGAATGTTAAGTTTGTCAAAGAATGTTTAAAAAAATCTATCAAAAAAACAAAAAAAAAACAGAAAAACTTAACAAGTGTTATTTGAAAAGTAATAAATTCATCAACTATTTGCTAGTGAAGTAACTCTCCATGACAGATATAATAATAATATTATAAATAATTAACAACAACAACAACAAACACAACAACACCAACGATGATGATGAGTATGGGTGACAAAAATTTTAAAATAGATTAAATACTGAACCTGTTCACTGAGGTTTGCAGCTTGCTCGTGCAATGATTTGATTACATTCTGATAGTTCTGCAGTTCATCTGTTATGTCCTATCATCGTTATTTTATTATTAGTGGTGAGAGAGAGAGAGAGAGAGAGAGAGAGAGAGAGAGAGAGAGAGAGAGAGAGAGAGAGAGAGAGAGAGAGGGAGAGAGAGAGAGAAAAATTATATCAAACTCGGCCTATTTGCTCTTATTTTTTAAAAAAATCTTGTAATATGGAAAATAATGTTTCAATAAGATAGCTGATGAAGTTTAGGATAATAAAAAAAAATAAATAAATAAATAAACAAATAAATAAATAAACAAATAAATAAATAAATGCGACGTCATATAAACTTCCTACCTTGTGCTTCTTGACAAGTGATTGCACACTGGCCTCGTCATGACCAACATCTTCACTTGACACTAGTCTCAATGTATCCAACATCCAAGTATCAACATCATCAGCATCAGCAAAAAACTTTAAAGGTAAGTAGACAGAAAATATTAGGCAAAAAGCGCTACGCACCTAAAATACTTTATAATTATTAATAGTTATATTTATGTGCAGTAATAAAAATATTTATATAACTATTATATAAGTGTTAAAATTAGATGTACGACTTTCTTTTAGCTGAAAAACAATCCTTTAAAATTACTTCACATAAAACTATTTCAAACTACTAAGCACATATTTAAAATTATTAAATATCAAATGTTTGAACCTCACTATAACGAAATATAAGACGCAATTTGAAAAACGAACAGGCAAATAAATAAAGCAAGTAATGAAAAAACGTATTGCAATAAGAGACCTGAAAAAAGTCAACAGTTTCAGCAAGTCGTTTCTTTCTGAAGTCAGAGAGTTCCTTCATATTGGACCACTGTTTCTCAATATCATCGATGGTCTCCTGGATCTTCACTGATCCAAAGTTTCCAGCCGTGATGAGGTCCTTGCCAACTTGAAGTTCATCTTGCAAGTGGTTCCTACGTGCGTTCAGTTCATCCTCTGTTGCCTGTCAAGAAGAAAGAACTACCGTTTGCATCAACATTTGTACTTCCTCATCACTTCAACAAACAATATAAAGACAGCAGATATAAACAGCCAATCAAACAAATCCGTGTGAAGAGAGCACCTTATGCTTCTTAACAAGCAGCAAAATACTGGTGAGATCGTGCCCCCAGTCTGGCGACGACATCAGCTGCTCCTTCTCGCGAATCCATCCCTCCGTGTCTGCCATGTCCCAGTAGAACTGCCACAATGTTCTTGATTCTCCGAGTCTTGCTCGTCTGGCAGCTGCTAATTGAAGCAGTTCTTCATAGGCAGCAATGAGGTGACGCTGGCGGTCGACGACTACTTGTGGATCACATGGCCTGTAACCTGATTGGTTGGCAGACGTCAGTTGTTCATTCAATCAACCAATCCTCGTTTATAGTTTCCATCCGTTATGGGTCAGTCAGTCAGTTGTTCATTCATACGTCATATATATGTCCGTATACAAGTGTATCTTCACTGATGAATGCTATGAATATTGCAAATGTTTATAGAGTAAACAAACGGATGGCCTCTAAATAATGTACTCCCGATTAATTTAATCTAGCAAACGACTCACAACACTTTTCACTACAGCTTCTCATTCCACAAAACACCATGAAAATCAAAAAAAAATCCGCTGTCAACAACCGCAACATCAACAAAAATTGAAAGAAACGAACAGGATGAAGAAACAACATGAAAAGACTCACCTCCAGTGCCACTATCACCACCGGCTTCAGGAAAGTCCTCATCAACAAACCTCTGCGCCTGTGTGTTGATGTTTTTGACACGATCCCCAACAATATTGATGTCTGCCTCCAGCAAACTCTGCTTCTGCAGCAGATCCTCGACGCCCATCAGATGCTTGCCGTAATCTTCGGAGCTCAAGCGAAGCTAGTGGGTTTATTTGTTATTCTCAATGTGTGTGGTTATTTGCATTATATCATAATCATTAATTAACTCGCAGTTTTATGGAGAGAAATGTAAAACTTGTATACCTTGATCTCATCCATCCATTCAAGCACACAGATCATCTCTTCGAAAATCTTCTGCAACTGCAACGAAAGTTCCAAACGTTGACGACGAGCTCTCAACAATTCCAGCAAATATTCCCACAATCTTAGTACGTTGTCTTTCCTGGGAAACAATTAGAAAGGTTTAATGAATAATTTTATTTCAAGGCCGATGCATACAGATTCTATGAGAAAAGAGTCACAAATTATCGACCAGATAGATAGATATATACCTAGCATTAATGCGCTCAGAGTCATGGTAGTTCTCAGTTTCAAGTTCCTGAGCCACAGATACAACAGCCTGTACACGTTCTTCATATGCATTGATGTCTGTGACAATGGCTTCATGCTTCTTTGTGGCCGCTTCCACTGCTGCCAAATCAAAGCCGAAATTATCCTGAGCGACGAGACGTTGGTTCTCACTTAACCATGTTTCTCTCATGCCAGCTTTGCGATCAAACCTGGCTGCCAACTGTTCCAATTTCTCTTGTCTGTCATTGGAAGATGAATAAAACAAAAAAAATTTATAAAATTCACTGAAATACATAACAAGAACGTTGCATAATCAATGAAATATAATAACTGTCAAATACCAAGTTAACATGAATCAGAAGTCTCCACGAAACAAACCTTATCAACTCCTCCCTAAGAGCCAGTTCTCTCCCATGTTCAGCCTTCTCCAGCAACTCCCAAGCCCTGTTTATATCAGCTATCATTCTGCCCTCAGTCGGCATGTATGGTTTCTGGTTGTTGGCTCTCATCTTGCTCTGAATGGTGAACAGCAGAACCTCCAAGTTGCCCTTCTCTATGAATCTGGTAGGAGATTTAATGCAGAATTAAATGGTTGTGGCAACAAATATTGGTCGTTTCTCGATGTTTCATTTATTCAACTTATTAAAGAAACATTGAATTAGTTATTAAGCAGTCAAATAAATAAAGAGAGGCTGACTTTGGAGGCTTGCCGACGTTTCTGTAAGTGTTGAATGTTGAGAGTTGCTGTTGAACTCCAGTGAGAGAGTTGGCAAAGTTGCGGTCATTCAACTCCTCGATGGTCTGCTTGATCCAGGTCAGGAGGTCAGAGGTGAGGTTCTCGTAATCTGCAATCATCTGGTCATTCTCCAGGCATAGGTTCACCACCTTTAAAATGCGAAAATGGTTAGATAAATAAGAAGCATACACATCGATTGTCATTCTGTTTTTTTTTTTAAAAAAAATCACTTTGAATGCCATTATAGCCATAAATTTATCATCATTACTGTTATCATCCTCATCATCATCATCATTGTGGCCATCAGGTCACTGACCTTTCCTACCCTCCTGCCCTGCACTGAATCAGCCTTCATCTTGGAGAAGTAGTGATAATAAGTGACCACGTACGTGATGATTGATTTTTCATCGGGAAAGTCCACATTAACATCTGATAACGATGATGACGTGCGATGATGATGATGATGATGATGACGATAATGAGTGAGACGACGATGTTATTAGTAAGATAAGATGATATCTGATATAGATAGTCAAACAGCAATGCCATTGCAACATTAGACCATTAAATACAAATGAAACAGTGACAGAAGAATGGAGAGTTGGTGAAGTTATAACTATATTAAACCCATTTGATGATGGAGGTATGTAATGATGGTGTCATCACCTCTGTCATCATAATTACAGTTAGATAAGGATGTAAAATTGCATAACATGAAAGAAATGACAGTTAATGAATGGCAATTAAGAGAGCAGTTACATTAATTAATTTCATTTCTTAGTTGCTATAAGATGTTGTAATGTTATTGAATAGTTTCCCCCCCTACTTTTCACACTCTTACACATACACGCAAGTACGCACGCGCACACACACACACACCACACGCACACTCACGCGCGCACACGCACACATGCACTAACACATCATAAATAATTATAAAATTATTATTAATAAAGATATTAATCATCAGAATAAAAATTAAATTAAGATAGAAAGCACAGGGCATAATAGAATTAATAGCAAACAGCTGTGGTTTGGCCTGGATAAATAAGACAATGAACCAATCAAAATTTTGAGATTAAGACAGGAAAAGACATAACCAACCATTCAGTGACTAATTCGTTATCATCGTCATATACTATCATTCAAATTTTCATTATAATTATAACATAATAATTATAATATTAAATATAATTAATTATAATATACCTTCAGCATCTAGAAGCCTGGTGAGGTTAAGTTTCTCCTCTGCTACATTGAATGCGTTGTTTAGATTGGCAACGTTGTTCACCTTGGTCAGCTTGTTGTATTCTATCAGGTCCGGTCTAATGATGATGATGATGACGACGATGATGATAATGGTGAAAATGATGACGAGTGAATTGACATTAAAAAAAAGCGTAATATCTGAATGGAAGTATTTGCAGAATGTAAGAATGAATGAATGAATTGGTGAATGAATTGGTGAATGAATTGGTGAATGAATGGGTGAATGAATTGGTGAATGAATGGGTGAATGAATGGGATGGTTAGTATTTGAACGAAATTGATGGAGATTCCATTTTAACAAAATTGGTCTCATCTTTCATAAGAATTGGCTGCATTTTAAGTAATGATATTAAATTAAATTATTTCCAATGAAAATTCTTGGAATTAGTTCATTTAACTATTAAAAATATTGGCAATCTATCAGTTGTACCATCAATAAATAAATTAAAAAACCGATCAATCAATTAAACAAACAAACAAACAACCAGCCAAATAACCAGCTGATTATCAAATAAATAAGCCAATCAATCAGCCAGCCAACCAGACAGCCAAACAAACATACAAACCTGTGTTTGTGTATGAGGGCATTGAAAGCCAAACCATCCTTCCAGCTTGTTGTGAAATTCCTGACGTTAACGTTGGGGTAGCCAGCAGTTTTCATCTGACACCAGAGTAACAATGCGTCCTTTGCCGATTTTATTTCGCTACTGTCTACTTGTTCGATTGTAATGTCTTGAATCTGTGGTCACAGTGTTGTGATGCGGTGTTGCTATTGTATTTTATTTAGTAAATATAAATTTGACAGATTATAAAATTAATTAATCAAAAAAAGAATCGGTGTAAACTAATTCATTTAGTGTGATTGTTAATTAAGTTAATGAGAAAATTCTAATGCAATAAATTTCTTTTAAATCGTTATTTTAAATAAACGTTTCAAGGATCTATTAAACATTGCTTAAATTTTTACATTCGTGTGACTGAAAAATCCTACTCACTAGAAACAAAAACAGTCCACAAAGATGGGATGGATGTATTTATTTGGTGTAGTAGTAAAGTTATATTTTTAATGATTTATGTATAAAAACTTAATGACTATCAGATGCACAACTTTTACTCTTTCCTTGCTATCTCTATCTCAAACGAATGGATATAAGGAGAAAGAGAGAAAGAAAGAGAGAAAGAGATCCATTCAACAAATTTTATTACCGTTATTTATTATATCCATTGTCTCCAAGAATAAAAAAAAAACATTGCTTGGAATAGAGACACATAGGTAGTAGTGTACATTAAAATCGAACTTTTTTAATCTATAATAAATATACCAGTAAAAATAATAATATCAATGGTAATGATAAGAGACAGCAGAAGTTTAAAAGTTTCAAAAATTAAAAGAATATCACAAAGCAATAACCATCAGTGATTTCTATGTTAATATACAACGCTCGCACACACGCACACGCACACAACACGCGCACACACAGGCAGACAATTTAGTGGCATTAACTGCATCAATAAATTATGCAACTGTTTTAGAGATAAAGAATAATAATAATCTCAATATATAAGGACCTTGGTGAGGGGGATAAAAATGTTAATAATAATATGATGAACAAATAATAATGATAATTATTTTAAAAAAAATATCTAGCAGCCAAACATCAAGAAATAACTTATGAGAGTAACAAAAAGGAGTAAACAACAACAACAACAAAACTAGCTGGGTAATGAATATGGTTTTTTCAACACAGTGGGGAAAGAAAAATTTTCACAAAACCAAAAAAAGGAATCTACAGCATAATAATTAACATCATCATCATCATCAACATTACAACTTTAAGCTTCAGCCAAAGTAATCATTGCCATCCATGGAAATCATAACAAACAATTATTGATAATAGCTTCAAACCTACTTACATATAATCATCGTCATCATCAGCACACAATCCTCATCATCATCAGCACACAATACTCATCACCATAATGGTAATCATCATCACCCCATCTCAATAACTCCATTATCATCGTCGTCACCATCGTCACCAACTTGGAATCTAAGAATAATAGTCCAGATGAGACCCAGGGTCAGCCTCGGACTGCCATCCACGATATCGTGGGCCCCGACATTTTCAAGATGAACACGCTGCTCATTGAGGAACATCAGCGACTTGTCAACATTCTCCAAGCAGTGGATTCGCATCTTGCCTTTTGTAGGATTGGGCTGAATTAAAAAAAAAATATTAAAGTGGAAAATTTTAAATGAATGCTTCAAGTTTTGTTCCATTAAGTTTGAAATATTGTGAAGATATGGCAATGGTATATTTTTAGATGGTAGGTTTCAGGCAACATGATAAACAAGCAGTATATAACAACCTCAACTGTCTGAAATAAATGAATCAATTCAGTTCAAGATGGATAAAATAATTAGCATAAACTGCAAAGCAAACACGACCAATCATCATAATCATCACCACCACTGCAGCTTCATTCCAATTTTACACTCTCATTAACAATTATAATCACAGATCATTCAAATGAGTAACCAAACATTCAAACAAACAAGCAATAAATCAGCAGATCAACAAACCAAATGACCGAATTGACCAACCAACTGACTGAACCACCCGTCCAAAGAGGCACAACACTACTAACAAACAAGCCCACAACTAACCAATCTCTCTCCAGACAAGACTTCCAACAGTCTGATGAGCATTTTTCCGTCCCTAAGATCCACATAGAGATCCTGTATCTTGCAGCCAACACGTGCCAGGTGTGAATTCACCCATTTAAGGAATGTTTTCTTCTGTACACTCTCCCTTTCATCTAATTTTTTTTCAATATATTTTCAAAATTTATTCATTTATCTACTTATTCATTCACTCATTCATCCAATCATTCTTCAATTCATTCATTCATTCATTCATTCATTCATTAACTGTGCATCAACCGTTGTATCGATCTAACAATATCACTATGTATCAATCTGATTTTATATCTGACAGATAGAATGTCCTAGTAAATAAAATATTAATATGAAGTGCCTAAATTCATTCATTATTTGATGTGAGTGAAATGAAGATTTCAATCTCTAGTCAAGTGCCTAAATTCATTCATTATTTGATGTGAGTGAAATGAAGATTTCAATCTCTAGTCATATGCATTTGTGATACACACATATAAATTGCTTAATATTTAACATCATGATTCTAGTATTTTACAAGAAAAAAAATTTCAGAAAAAAAAACACATAGTCTTCTTCTGCCATACATCAGTAAAACATCTAACAAATTTGATTACTTTAATGATAAACAGATGGAAACAAAAATAGATATACTATAAAAAAGAGATCATGCTATCATCATCACAGAAAACATTTCAAAATACATCAGCCATCATTAAGATAATATGACACAGCATGGTATAATGTAAACAACATAAGCAACAATATACATGAAAACAAGAGCAATCAGGGCACAAAATACCAAAAAAATAAATAAAAAAGAGAAGATAACACAAAGATAATTGTGAAGAAAACTGAAAACCCAGGCAGATGGAAAGAAGAAACAAACAAAGGAACCAACAAAGGAACCAACAAATGATGATGGTGATTCATGCACACATGTGTGTTGGCAAGCAAAACAAACCAATACATGCATACATATTCATAGACACACGCGCACACACACGCACGCACGCGCACACAAATACATATATATCATTATATTAAATAACACATATACACACATACTTATATATTGTCTGACTATAAAACCCAACTTAATCTACTGACAAACACATACAGAATAAATGGAATGAATAAATACCCCATCCATATTTGCACAGTGGCAATAATGGTTATAACAACAACAATAATAAAGATGAATATTTCTAAAAGAATATTAGTTCATTCATCAAACTGTTGGATCAATAAAATCATCATCATCAACTTCACCATCATGTCATCACCACCACTATCCTCATGGTCTTCATCATTATCATCTTCATAATAATATTCACCCACCTTCTCACTTAATGACACATATCTTAAATGGAATTCAATCTCAATATGAGATTTATCAGTGATAGCAAGGCAATGTTAATCTTTGAGTATTATCTTTTCATTTTACATTACAAATAATACATGTTTTTTTCCAGTTTACTTAATGTTCTAATCATCCATCTATTCAATTTTACATTCCTTCCTTCCTTCATTTATTCATTCATTCATTCCATGTCATTTTTTGCATTTATTAAAGCATCAACCTATCAACCCAGCCACAACTTGCATACATTCCTTTAATATTCCTCCAATTAATCACATGTCTGTTTAGCTAACTAATCCCAACATGCAACCAACCAATAGTAATGCACATACAAACAAATTGTTTGTGAATGAATCCACCAATATATGAACCACCCAAAAACGAATGGATGAATGAAAGATGGAGTGGATTAAAAGATGAAAATGTAAATTAAATAGAGAACTAGTTGAATGAAGCTTTCAAAAACCTGCACATAAAACACATTAACTTGGACATATACATGATATATATCCACACATATGAATAATCACATGTTAAAGCCCACAGAACACAAGCAGAAACACCCAGCTGTATATAATGACATTTACAAACACATTCAGTAAGCTAAACACACACGCACGCACGCACGCACATTAAGTAACATCATCTTCTGTAAAATATACAAATATGCCAACCTCTATATGTGCAGTGTGAGTGAGAGCCAGCCAATGAAATTAGATATGCATGAAAACCCTTCTAGTTAATGTTGTATGCATAGTATTCAATCATCATCTATATGCCTGCATACCACACGCATACAGATACACTTTTATATACAAATTCAAAGATATTAAATGGAAACTGTGAAAACATTAAAAAAATGAACTATACTATTACAAATGCAGTAATGTTTGCTTTTCACATTTATACAAAATATACTCCCAACAACACTCTTCTTCATACAAGACAAATGATTACAACAATATTATCATCATAATTTCATAAGAATTTGTTATCAGTAGCTGTATGCTGTATATAATGATATATGCATGTATGTGTACATATGTACATTGCATATACACAAGTGAAAAACATCAGCTCTGCACAGATCAGGCTATGTGTGTATGTAAGATGCATGTGCTAGCATGTGTGTGTACGTGTGTTGTGTCTGTGCACATTAGGAATGTATAACTGTATCATATACATACATATAACACAACATCTCTAACAAATAAAGGTGCCTATGTATGTATATATATATATATATATATATATATATATATATATGTGTGTGTGTGTGTGTGTGTGTGTGTGTGTGTGATGAAAGAGGTTAAATCCAATAAATATACATCATTTAAAATTTGTGAAACACTTTTATTTACAATTCGTTAAATCATGTATGATGTAAAGAGAGAAATTAAAAAGACAAAGAGAGAGAGAGAGAGAGAGAGAGAGAGAGAGAGATCGGGAGGATGCTGCTATGCACAACACACAATGGAATTTCCACAGTGTACAACTATCTATTAATAAACCATCATAATGTCTGTTTCTATTTCATCAATTTGCAACCTCATGAATCAATTCTATACATACATACGTGTGTGTGTGTGTGTGTGTGTGTGTATATATATATATATATATATATATATATATACACATATGTATACATACATATATATATATATATATGTAATACACATATGTATACATATATATATACACATACATATGTATATATATATATAATACACATATGTATACATATATATATACATACATATGTATATATAAATATATATATATATATATATATATATAATACACACATGCTTCTGTTTGCCTTACATGTATACAGATTTTATAAAATTTAAAGTAGTAAGATATATATATATATATTATATTTTTTCTTCATACACATTCATGAATGCAGATAGGCCTTACATAATACAATATGAAAGAAATATTTAAACAATAATCAATAATAGAAGCCAAGAATTGCCATGCAACCAATTTTAAATTGAAAGCACAATGTTACATTCTTAAGTAGTTCTGCCTGCATGAATAGTGTTGGACAGTACAAACACATGAAAATATTTAACACTGATGATGCATGGTGGAACCAATTAGGAATAGATGGTAATATAAAATTGGTTGGCAAAAAAATTATAGAGATATTAAGAGACTGAGAGAGTGGGGTAGAAAAAGAGAGAGAAAGGGGGAAAGAAAGAGAAAAGTTGGGAAGGAGACTGCACTGATCAACCAAGGAATGGTAATTTTGTCCAGACAGATAATAAAATGTCAAAATGATTTACTTGAAGAGACACACAAATGTCAGTATACATCATGTGAGAACCATACATCAAATTTCATTAACATTAAATTTCATTAAATTTCAATAACAAATACAGCAATACTTTCTTTCATTTAATGGAATAATATATCTAATTATCTAATTCAATAGGTTAAAAATATTGACAAGAGAAATAAAATGAAATAATAATAATTAATAAAGAATATCTTTTAAAAGAGAAAATTAGAAAAAAACCCACTGGTCACAGTTTAAAGAGAATCTAGCATTAAAAACAATATTGTGATTGTGCCATCCAATTTCACATACACCTAAAATGTAAACAAACTATATTCAAAGTTTCAGATGCATCCCATAAGGCTCATTAGAGCATGCACTAAAATTAAAATCACACTGGCAAGCAAATATATATGAGAAAAAAAAAACAATTTACACATACATATGCATAATAAGTAAACATATGCAGATGCACACTATGAATAGAATACACATATACAAACAAGCAACTAATGTGCCCCTAAACAAATAAATACAAACACACATACATACAAACAAACACACTAAATACTGCAAAACAGTCTGCATAGTATACAAGAGTTTGTAAATTGGAACATGTAGTCACATACACTAAGTTGGTACTATAATTACATATATATACACACACAAACAGGGGATGAATTATAGATGCATATTCAAACATCTAGACAAACACATACATCCATAGTCAACATTTTGTACATATAGTAGGTACACATAAGACATTGAGACAAGTGGGCACTTGAAAGATTAGCATCATTACCATATATATATGTACATCCAACTTATTGCTAACATTTCATTGCTTCTGCATTCTTATTTTTATTAATATTATCACCATTAATAATAATTGTATTATTATTATCATCATTTTATAGTTTTAATTATTAAATTTAATTATTAGATATAAAAACACTATATTAAAAGTTTGTGGACTTTGTGTATATTAAAAGAGTTTTAAACAAAAACACACAAAACACATCATGTCATGCTACAAACAAAAGCATGTTAAGTTAAGTTAATGCTAAAATGTAAAATTTGTTAATCTTTGGCTTGAGAAAACTAAATAAACATTGCCATTCATTTTTACTTTTGTATTATACTTATAGCCTTCTGTGGTTTTCATTCTCTATTTTTATATAGTTTAATATATTATAATAATAGTAGAGCACAGTACAATATGATACAGTATAGCATAGCAAAGTATATATAGTATGTGTACATAAAAGCCATGATTTTTAAAAGTAGACTTTAGTCTACATCATTTGTCATAGAAATAAAACTGAGATAACAAACACACTTGGCAAAACAAAAACAACACTAAAATGAATTCCATAATAATTTATATTAGTGTTTATCAAAATTAATCATGAAAAAATTTTGATAACTGACCAGCCAGAGCCCTAATTCTTGACCTCTCAAAGAGTTTAGCAGAATTTGTTTCGTCGTCCTCTATGAACTCATCGTCCTCATTCATGACTGGGGTGTCCCATTTTAACTGGCCATCCCCTGGCCCGTGAACTACATCAGTCATCTTGCTCAGTCACTTTTTCAAATTAGGTTTTAATTTATTTCATAAATAACTAATTATAAAATAAAGTTATAAACAATTTTTATGAAATTTAAAAAAAAAATAACTTTAATTAATATGAAATAAAAATCTTTTATATTTTAAAAAATGAGATGTCTATGTCTAGACTAGACAAGTAGGTAGAACTTTCTAGCAATTTAAACATCAGAAGTCACAAAAAAAAAAAATTTATAATTTATTTGTCCTTGCAGGGTTGTTCATCCATGATGGGATGGTTATTGATTAAAAAAAAAATGAAGGCTCTCCTGGTAAAACGAAATCAAATGTGAACAGTTGAACGCAAAGTAAACAACAAATAAAATTTTTAATAATAACTGAAAAAGTATTTTAACTTAACTAGTGAAATTGAAAAATTGGTTTCTCAACTTTTTTAATATTTAAAAAAAATGTCTAGCTTGAAAAACTTGTCTGCAAGTGGAAAAAATAATAAGATAAAACAAAAATTAAAAAATTACCTTTGATGCGAAAAATTACGAATTTGGAACTTCCTCCGACAATAGATAAAAATCAGAAATTAAAATACAAATTTGATGAAAATGTTTATTAAACTAAATAAAATAATTAAACCGTGCGATCAGAATTTTGCAGAAGCTGAGAAGACATTTGCACGCAGACAGAAACCTAGCGCATAATCATCGCTGCATAATAGGCATGACCTAATTTGCTTCACTCCCATTGGTCAAGATTTTAATTTCATGTGCGCAGGTCAGACCGAGATTGAAACGGTTTAGGTAAAATGTGTAGGGTCATTACCGATTTGTTTGCGAAAAATGATTCATAATTGAGCTTTTTCAACAAACGAGTTTCATGATCAAATAATTTCAGGTATTTAACATTAATAAATGAATATAGAGACCCAAGTTTAATTTAATTGAATTTTTTCATTCACCTTAAAACTTCTAAGTTAAAACCGAATAAGCTCAAATGACATAAAACTGTACACTTTAACAGAATAAACGAACAAAATAACGTAAATTTGATGCGCGTAAACTAGCAAAACATCTTCAAGAATGTCCTTTGACGCCTTCCTCGTCCACAATGAATGCACAATACACGTTACTTGGGAGATGGGGAGCGGAAAGAACCTGCATACTTCGAATATTTGCCTCGTACGTCTCAATTTGTGCATCATTTAAACTATTTGCATCGTTAGATTTCAATTTAGGGATTGTTAAAAAGTCTTTGGTTCGTGATATGTTGATCCTGATGTTCATCTCGTTAGCCCACGACAACCCCAGAGCAGGAATCTTACGATTTGTGCTTCCTCCCAGCTGGGCTGTTTCACATGGTCGCCTCCATGTGCTCTCTTTAAAATCATCTACCACCTGAACACAAAAATTGTCAGCTTACCAATTAATATATAAAAAAAACAATTTTTAGCATAAAACTTGAGACTGTTTAACTAGAAGATCAAATCTCAATAAATCGTGACACAAATTTGAAAGAATTTATTTAGTGAATGACAAATGAAACACAACAGCATCCAGTTTAACCTGGTTAACAAGAATGACATGTATGTTGAACTTGGAGGTCATTTTATGCAGCAGACCACACACGGTCAACAGTTTTTTTGACCTTTCAAGCATGTGGCCCTCCACTCCAGCCATGTCGCCTTGAAAACAGGCTGCCACAGAATCAACCACCAACAATTTTATGTTTTTGCTAATGATTAAGAATGAAATTTTTCTTAGACAATTTTCTAGATCATTCTGTAAAAAGAAGTATAGAGCAAAATTATATTTAAAAAACAAAAAAATATGAATCAGAAATTAATAACTGACAGGCTCAACAGCATGTTCAATAAAAATATTGTCCATAAAATTTATTCCATCAAATTCTTTAACTCTGGCTTTTAGTTTGTTAATCATTTCTGCCAGCCTGGTACTGGGAAATACATCTTCTGTGCACACATATACCACACCTGGATGAGAAAAATATGTGATGGTAATTACAAAAAAATTGCTAACACCTCAATAATTGTTTAATTGTTTAACAAGAGAGTAAATCTTGAGTGTAAGAGAAAAAAAATTTTTCTGACAGCCATCAAGGCCTCCCCATTGTAAAGAAAGCTGTGCCATTAAAGAGAGTTGGAGACAGATTTGTGTCTTCCCAGAGGCGCTCTCTCCTGATATTTCAGTCAACATGCCTGACATGAATCCTCCTGGTCATAAAATTTAGGTGAACAATATATTTTTAAAAAATTTGTATTGTTGAAGAATAAACCAACCACCAAGAAAGGAATCAATCTTTTCACATCCAATTGAAAGTTTCTTCTGTTTGATCCCATCAGGAGAATTGTTCTCAAAAATCTGTAATGCTTTAAAAAGTTTATGAACTATGAACTATTTTTAAAATATTGTTTCCACAATTTTTAAATGAACATTAACATTATGAATGTGTAAAAGAACATAGCAAACCTGATAATGAGATGATGCCTTCAATGGATCTTGCAGTCACAAGTTGTAGTTGGGCTGCCTCTCTGCTCGAAAGTTTCGTCAATTTCATCACATCCCTTCTTGAATTTGTCAAGATTTCTATTATGTCTATGTTTGCTTTATTGGAATGAAAAGTAATTATCTTGAGTCTTGTTAATTTTCAATTATAAAGGATTGGATCATTAAATACTACATTCACTCAGTACCCAGACTACACTAAACTCTAAAGTCAAAAAAATAAAAAAGCAATATAGTAGGTAATAACAATAATTAAGTGATTGAATTATTAGTCTAGTAATTACTAATTGCAATAAAAATATTGTAGCACTTCGTAATCACAACGTAACAAAAACGTACTAACAATTTTTGACAGCCTTCAACGTTTTCTGATTGACGTCTAATGTTTTGAAAATTTTCTTTCCAAACATTTTATTTGAACTTCTTTCGATTTTGATTCACGACCATTTAATAATCATTTAATCATTTAAAAATGAATAAATTAAATACAGCGACATCGAAACTCTGTATTTTTGACTTACGCGGTACAATGATGAATAAATAAATACAAGGAAAACTATGGTTGAGTTTTCTTTTCTTTTTTTTACAGTTGATTTTTTATTTCGATTCCCATTTAATTACAATTTAATTTCAAATATAATAAAAAATATATTGTTACAAATCTAAAATTTGATGACAATACTGTTACAATAGGATGAATTTCGAAAGTGTTTTTGAACGAAGATTGAGAACATTTTAAATCTCCGATGTGTCATCATTTTCCGATGTCTTATCGTCGTTTTTAGAATTCAATAGCTTACAGATGAAATAAGATGCAATGGCGTTGTTGGAGACAATTGTGATCACACCAGCTGAGTTCAAACATGGGTCGTTGCTCTGCTCATCATTGTCGTATTTTCTGGGAAATTATAATACTCATTTATCGAATGTTCGTCAAGTTGTTTGCCAAATGTTCATTCTGTGTTCACCAAATATACAAGAAATATCAATTTCATAATTTAAATTTCATGAAATATCTCACACTGATCCATTTTCTATTGAATATTGAAAATACGCAGCTGCATCCTTCATCCTATGGATTATATCCAAGTCGTTGCATGTCGGTTCTGGAAGAATGTTTCATTTGATGGCTTGGTTTTCGTGTTCGGCTTGTTAATTTCATACAGGAACACAGCAAAATAGTTGTATATTGATAGAATATAGAATATTTTACAAATCTTATAAAATGTGAGCTTCACTTCGCAAGCAAGCAATTTCTAAAAAGACAGTTAATTTTATTAAAAAAAATTCCTTACGTCCATTAACCTTCATGGAGTAACCTCCAAACATCGTCGACAATCTTGTAATTTTTTTCCTCAACGTCGGGAGTCACATTCAATTCATTTTTTACCATTGAGAAGAAATATTTCGGAAATAAAATTCCAACGCTAGACGCTACTTCGCCTACACATTTAACTGCCGTAAGAAATTATTTCATTCAGCAGATGTTAGTTATGATATACGTTTGATCTTATTTCAGATGGGAAAAAAGAACAGTTATTATTGTTCGATTGATGTAGACAAAAAATGAGAGAATGATTAACAAAGTTTGTTTGAACTAAATTGATATTTCGTATAGCGTTTAATCACTTTATCTACCTTTGAATGCGTTAACGCTGAAAGCCGAGATTTGTGTAGTTATTCTTCGGCTCATTTTTCGTGATGGAGTCGCCTTCAAAATTTTTCCACTCTTTGACTTTAATTCTAATTTACAGATTAACATTACTAGCGCATGCATATACAAATGCTTGTTAAACTTAGTTAAACTTATAGTTATGCAAGTTTTTGAAAGTTATAAAATGAAATGAATGGTTCTGATATGGACGTACTGCTTTTAGGCTTTTGCTAGAAAAAATAAAAATTTACAAGATTTTTAGTAACTTTAATACATATTCAACGTTGTTAAGTAAATTGAAGCACTGTGAATAGATATATGCGTGCAATTTAAGGTGTCCCGTTGAATAGATGTACCGAGAACAATTGTTTTCAGTTCAGTATTTGAATAGGTATTATTTGAAAGTTGTAAATTTGAAGCAAAGTGCGAAAATAATATAAAAATTATTAAATTTGCGTCTTGCATGCTATCTTGAATTTTTGTATATTTCAAGATTTTACAGACCTCAACTGGATGCTTTATCAGCGTGTTTAAAAAGCAGGTTTCTACACTAACTAACTTGCTCTTTGATGTAGTAACAATGGTTTTCAAGGAGTGCCTCTAAATATCCTTGAGATTCTATGCTGTTTGACTTGAAGGCAACAAATTGATCTGAAATTTTCATTACTCAATCAATTTTAAAATTTTGTTTACAAATGTCATAATTAACCAAGAGCTTCAGAAGAGAAATCGGGAAAGAAGAAAGTATCATTCTGTTTAAGCATCGGAGTAACGTTATGATGCAAGGGATAAATCCAAATACCAACTTGAAAATAATGATTCACATAACACTTTTTAACAATTTCTTCATCGCGATCTTCGTAATGATAAATGTGCGCACAGCAATTGTGCTGGATGAATAACGCTGAAGACGGAGAAACTAGAAAGACATCAACGGAATCAATTTTTATCAATTCCTGAATTTTTCCTTCCGAAAGAGGCTTGAATGTTGCCTCGTCCAAGTTGAAAAAATCTTCATCTTTTGAGCAACGAATTTTTTTAAAATCGACCAATTCCTCAATGGTGTTCCTTCGCCTACGTACAAAAACTCCGAGTTGATTTTCCTTTGTGGATTCATTTTCGTCTGAGAGATCTATGTCTCTTACAGCCTTATTCTTGTTATATAATCTTTTCAGTGCCTTTTTAACGGTTAGCATGTCTTTTATTCGATTTGAACCCAAATCATCGACTGTTATATCAAGATCGTCCAACACCTGTTCAGAGGCTATCGATGAAAAATGCTCACGGAACTTATTCATCTCTTCCGCTCTGCTCTTAATCGCGTTCATACAATTGTGCAACGACCTGCTTATTTCCGTCATGTTTTCTGGAAATTTATATATATTCTTTTTCTGCATCATTCTCAATTTTATCCAGAGGTTGGCCAAATATCTGCGTGACGTTCTGTATAGGCTGACAGCTTCACAGTACTGCAGAAAATACTCGCAAGTTATTGCCTTCCCAAGAGCGGAAAAGATTTGACTTTGAATTTGGTGGAAAGTTCCACAACCTTCCTCTAACTCGGAGCCACTTGACTCATCTGATGCCTCCTCTACAACTTTTTTGTATTTTGCAGCCATTTTAGAAACACAGATCAGTCATTATATCAAACGTAAGACAAACTTTTTAACGATGCTTCTGTGGAAACACGATTTTAATTGACGGATGTCACACATTTATGATATTCTATATAAAAAAACTTGCAAATGGCGTTATAATATTGATTGACGGAAGATTACACAATGACGTAAACTCTTCCTTTACGCCTACTATAGCTCAATTCTGGTACTAAAATTCCTTGTAGACAGATGTCATTATAAAAATTTACCATTGTTATTAAACCTAAATATTTTACAATTTACAAGCTTATAGAATGTTAAAGAATTGTTGTTCTTGGTGTGTGTATATATATATATATATATATATAAATATATAAATTTTGGTAACAGACTATTGTTAACGCAACATTTCAAAAAATCAACACTACTTTCAACATTCTTCAACTTTTTCATATTTCTTTTTAATTTATTAATCTCCGAGAAATTAGACATTTTATTGTTTTTTCTTTGTTTTGTTTTTTTTGTTTTTTTTGTTTTTTTTTAATAATAAAATTTAAAAAAACAATAAAATGTCTAATTTCTCGAAAATTAATAAATTAAAAAGAAATATGAAAAAGTTGAACAATGTTGAAAGTAGTGTTGAATTTTTGAAATATATAAATATAAATATATATATATATATATATATATATATAGAACGTAGATGTGGTTTTATTTATAAGTAATTAAGTTATCCATACTGCTTTTTTCCATTCATTCGCTTTTCAGGGTCATTCTTTAATTTAATCGTGTCCACTTTTCGCATGTTTACTTTTTAATAATTTAATTTTTTAATAGTTACTTTTACCTGTTTAGAATTTGAATTAGTTTTAATCTTAATTAATTCTTAATTTATTCATCTTGTTGTTTTACTATTTTTAGTTATTGGGTGTTTTGATTGCGGACGTCACACTAGATCGATGATCGAAGATTAATTATTATTTTTTTTACAGATTACAAAATTAAAATAAATAATAAAATTTAATTATCTAATTATTAATCTTAATGACTTAATTTCTCTAAAAATCTTGAAATTATTAAATTAGTAGTTTCGACGTTTTTTATTATCTGCAAGCAACATGAATGATGAAGAATTGGAAAGGTTTATTTTTTAAACTTTTTTAAAATTTAATGAAAATTGATGCTTTTAATTTTTATAAATTGCTTGTTATATATTTAAATTTAATTATGGCGTTGCTATTATAGATTTAATTGTAACTTATTACAATTAGGGATTGTTCATTAAATTATTTAGTCAAAATGAATTATTAAATAAGGATTGCAGTTGAAGAAATCTTGAAAGAGGCCAAAAAAGGGAAAGAGAGATTTGAACGTTTGGGACCAGAAGGATGGTCAGTAATATATATTTTTTTAATTATTTATAGACATTTGTTTCTGAAATTTTATATTTACATTAATTTTTATTCATAATTTACATTAATTTTTATTCATAATTTTAGTCAAAACATATTCAAGATACTATTATTTTTTGAAAACATTTTTTTTACTTTTAATGAACTTATTGGCACTATTTTTAGCACAATTAAATTCAAAATTTCTACAATACATTCATTGCAGGAAAAAGAAATCCACCATAAACAAAGTATTTCTAAATCGATACATCAAAAATTCTATATCATCGAATAAATGGAAAAACGATTCAGTAAAACGAAAATCCACACTCCAGAGTTTCAAACTTGAACAGGAGGAAAAGAAATTCAAATCCTCCAAACCAGATGGCAGTAATGACAAAAATAAATCATTTAACCGCAACACTAGCAACAATTTCAACAACACGTGTAATAAAAATGTGCAGTGTGTTAAATCAGAATGATTTTCATATGTTCATATTTTTATTTATCATACCTTTATACATGACACGTACATAGTAAAAGACTGTTTTTTTAAATAAAAACCAAGAAAATAAAATATGTGTATACAAATTATTGTGTTTGCATTATTTTTGTTTTAACTTGTGCTGGTGAATTTTGTTGTTTTATATGGAAGGTAAAGATAATTGTTAAAAATAATTCAATTTTTCCATCTAACAGTGAAATTTAAATAATCGTTAATAATAATGAAAATGATAATACAGCAAAATAGCAATAATAACTAATTTAATAAATATAAGGAAATATCTTATAATGAACTGTATCACAGTACGTATCCCAATCTGATCCGTACTTCTTCCTGCAGTGCGCGTCATCCCGCATTCCTCTGTGCACCAGCAAGTATGTGAAATAAATGGGATAGAAGTATGGGATTATGTGCTGGAAGCCTGGATAGTGGGATTGCACAATTTCATAACAATAATAGTTATGTGATTTTTTCGAATGTGATCCTTTATGCTTACTGATTTCAAAATATTCACTATCGGTGAATAATAGTATTATTTCTTTTAATTTAAAAGTAAATTTGGCAACAAATTTAAAAAAGTTAGTTTAATAGTGGAATTAATTTAAACGGAGACCTGTGACGAGTGACCAGGTCAGGGCCATGATGAGATCGCCCATGTAGTTGGGGTGCCTGGATAAACCCCACCAGCTACTCACCAACAGCTTCTTGCCGGATGATGTTCTTAACGTCTTCAAATCTACGAATATTTCAGCGATATATACTTACATTATATTTTAAATTAATAAAAATAATTAAACGTTCAACTATTTCGATAATTTACGTGATAACGAAGGGTTATGTGGATTTTTTCTGAATTCATTTTTTTGAGAATTCGACAGGCGGAAGATGGCGTATCCAACCACTGCAAATGAAAAAATTAAAGTTAAAATCTAGGTTATCTAGACGGTTATTTAAACTGATTTTAAAATGATTATTGAAATGAAATGAGTAGAAATAAAACAAAATTAAATTAAACAAAATTTACGATTTAAGAGGAAGAATGCGACTAGAGCACAGAAGCTCCATTGAATTTGAGGATGTTCGAGAAGGAATCTGGCTTGAAGAGAATATAAAAATGGCACCCACGATAAGTTTCCCATGACCAGCATCAGTCCAAGGCCGTCGTGGACTATATCCATCGTAGATAGAATTGCTTCCTGCTCAGATAACAAAGAAATGAAGTTATTTTCTAGCATTTGCATACATTAAAAAGTGTGTTAATCATTCACGATTAGTTGAAAATTATGGAGAAATACCTCATGCCAAAGAGCGTCAGCTACGTAGAAAGTGTGGAAGAATACAACCAACGCCAGCGAATAATTCAACGAATTGTGTTTCTGAAAATCTTCGATTAGGATGCAGAAATCCAGAATTATCCATCCAATCAGGCCGGGTCTGAGTTCGCAAAAGAATTTCAAGTCGAAATCTCCAAATCGAGGGTTTAACTCTCTGCCAAGAAAATGCTGATAGATGAATGAACCTAGGGAATGGAACGTTTATTGAATGTTTCTTTACTAATTTTGTTTCCAACCATGAGCCACATGTGCAAATGAAATACACAAGTAATCTATGAAAATCGATCATTTATTGAGAAAATATATGAATAAAAATAATATATCTTGAGTCAATTTTATAATAAAGCAAACGTTTAACACTCAGCACCTTTCACGTTTACAGAATCAGTCAGTTTGTCATAAGGTACACTGAAAGATTTGATGTACAAGAATAGAGACAGGGTAAAACTGAAGAAGATTGACGATACGATGAACGACAGATAGTGCTTGTAAACGAATGAAGTTGGCAGACCAAATATGTAGGCTACTACAAATGCCAGTACGGAAAAAATGAAACAGGAAAACCCTGAAAAATAAATAATTTTAAATGTCAATCACGTCCAACTTAATCATCCCAGCAATTCAAAAATGACAAAGCACAAAGGCAATGCATAATTCGCGTAACAAATGTCATTTCGAGGTGTACAAAATTCATCTCTACCATTGCACTTGTAGGAAAGCCTTTTATCATTCTTCAATGGCAGGCCATACTGAATACTGCCAAAAGGTAGTAGTAGATGTATGATTAGTTGGAAGAAGAACCATCCTGTGTAGATGAGTAGGGAGGTCGTGTTGAACATTTCTTCCATTGTCGGCATCAGAGGTAGCGTAAGAATACTGCACGAGCTCTGTGTTAGTCGAAAATTTAAATATATATTTTTGAAAACTGATTGATCAGTTGTAACGATTTATATAGCGCAATCTTAGCTGTACTTAACAAATTTCTATCAACATTTGACTTGGTGATTACAGGGCACTATCATATGCGTACGCCCGAAAACGCATCGCGCACGCACACACACACACACACACACACACACACACACACACACACACACACACAACATATATTGAGTAGAGCTTATGAACCAGGCATTCTTTTAATTACGTTAGTTAGAAGACTTTGCTCATTCAATTTTATAAAGAATTTCAAATGAAATGAATTATTTTAATGGGAAAAAACAAAGAAGCAAGGTCAGACTCACCTTCCCACATGCTAGGTTTAGATAAATAGTTGTGAGCGGCAGCACAGTCGTCAACACCAGCGTTCCAAACGTACCGCCGAACTCCTCAACCGCATTACTTTTCTTGTTCTTCATCCTTAATGTTAATTAAATGTATCGTACTTTTACAACAAATCGTTCAATTCAAATGTGTTAGTTGCGCGTTGAACTGATCTAAGACCTACGTAGAAAATACGGTTGCTCTAATCCTAATGCCAGGACGCCAATAAATAAATGTTTTAAATTATTATCTACCGAATTTTGAAACTATTCTACAACTCATGACTTTGTAAAAACGGCTTACTCTAATAAAACCAGTAACAGCACTTGAAACAACTAACTCACACGTTCTAACTGCCACAATGCATGCTTATTTATAACAAAACAAGTAACGATGCATCTCATTGGCTTCAATTAAACGCATGTCAAAACAGCTTTAAGCAGGTTATATAACGAACCGGTGTCAAATATAATATAGGTACATACATATACAGATAGAAAGAAAGGGAGAGAAGGAGAGAGAGAAAACTCAACTCATAAAGAATGCGGTGAATAAAGTATGCATTTGTTTGTGAGAATCACAGATATGATGTATTGCATGTATATTAAATATTTATATTTATTTATTATTTTAAAATAATAAAAAACAGATTACATATTGAATTTAAACAACTAAATTCCAATCTTTCTCAACGCTGGTTCTTAATTAAGTAAAATGAAAACATTTCTCTCGCCCAATAAGAAACAATTAAACAAATTTTCTGCAAATTTTACATAATATTAATATTTGAAATTTCTAAATTTGAAAAAATAAAAAATTATATAATGGTCGATGGAAGATTGCTGCAACTGACATTTTGTTGAGCGGTTGACGAACATTTTCATTGCTGCTTTGTGTTGCGCGACTCTTTCTGCGACAGCGTCGCAACATATGGTAGACCAGTTCTGCGACCTCCACGGCACTGGCAACTGTGATTCCTAGCCATAGGGACAACACGCCGCCCACAGTTCCTACCATCACGTCCATCAGCCTTCGGGATCCCAGTAAGGCAAGTTTTGCCTCATTATGAATCTTATCTCCAGTAGAGATTCTTCAATCTGCGTTAGGTTGGGATGGAGGGTTCTAATCTTTCTCTTGCTCATGTACTCGTTGTAGGCTTTTAAATAATCGACGCATCTCGTTCTAACACCAACATTCCTATTATCGATACATTTACTTTCTATGAAATATTTCTGAAATATTCTACATGACGCTAAACGAAGATTGATTACTGAAATATGCTGAGCTGAGCCGAAGGTTTTGGCCGATCAGGTGTTGAGACATATGAGTCGTATACAGTTTCGTTGTACGACATTGGACAATGCTCCTTGCAACCAAATTCAATATCGAGAAATATGACAAAGAACAGACGATCTTTTTCATAATTAAATCAACGGTTAACGACATACTATTTTAAAAGTTAACTAGAAAAATTACTCCGTCCCAAAACACACACACACATGATCATGGACCTAAACTTGCCTGTGCAGACCTGCGGAACAAATAAAAAAAAACTCGACGAACGGCGCGAGGCATACGTGTTCGCCAAAATGCCTCATATTAAAAGACAAGCAACAAACCAAGATTTATACACATTTTAATTTCGTTAAACACAAGTAATCATTCTATACGACGAAAAGACATATCTGGCACGCACATAAATTACGAAACTTCATCTTACATCAACGACAGTAACGAGCCAAACATCGAACGTACAGACTCGAAAATGATTCAGTCAGTAATAAAATAAACTATACGAAACATTTATAGGCGGTTGTACAGTAAAATAATGCATATACACACGCATATATCTATTGTATGTTAGAGTTATGTATGCTATCTTTGTATGTGTGTATGTATAATATAAATACGTATTTGCATGTAGTTTCAACACAAATACACACACACCTGAACATACCGCTCCTACTCAACACAAGGAAACACAATAACTCAATCAAAAATAAAAACATCTAAATAAATAAAATCATATTAAAACGACGAAGAAATAGTGTATGAAAATGTCTTTCACTAATCTCACGCAAACATACCATCCTCATCATCATGATAAAACTACTTAGAAAGAGTCGAACCAATCGATCAATAATTTAATCAGTCAGTCAATCAACCAAATTTTATTCAGCCACAGCCCTCAATGTCAGCCGAAGATATAAAAAGTAGCAAAAAAGCGAATACCTTGACTAAATATGCATATACACATACCATCTAGTCTTTAAATTTGTTCCATGAATACAACACATACACACACGCATGCAAAATTATTACTTTTCTGTCAACACACACACACACCACACACACATTCACACAAAGTTAATCCTGCATATCTTCGGGTATTTCGTGGGGTCCAATAATACCAGGTACTGTTAGTTGCACCTTCCTCTTCTCTTCCTGAGCCTGCAGAATGGCTGCTTCCCGCTCTTCCAAGAACAACCCGGTGTTGTCCTCACCAGCAAATTCCTGGTTTTGTAATAAGTGCAATATACTGAAAATAATCTCCCCTAAACAAGCTAATCAGAAGTATGTTGTAAATTTTTAATTATTATTAAATTAATGAGAATAAAAAGCGAAAATGACAAAAAAAAGTGTAATCTACAAACCCTGATTTGTACAATGAAATCTCTGAGATGCTCCTTGAACTGTGGGATGTCCTGGTTGAAACTGAACAAACCCTCTATGAAGACTTTTATCTGCTGGCTGCAAGTTCACGATCAATCATGCACAACATTTTACAATGATAAGAGAGATAGATAGATGGATAGATAGATGAATAGATAGATAGATAGACAGCTAGTTAGTTAGGTAAATGGATAGGTAAAAAATGAAAACAAACAAACAAATATGCAATTGAAACAAACTCATTGAGGTGTGGGAAAGCAGATTTGAGAAGGTTGGCGAGGAACTCCTGGACAAAGACCATGTTGTGTAGGACGTCGTAGTTCGGATTCAGTGGTGTTGTTATTTTATTCATCTCAACTAAACTGAACATGTAGGCTAGAATAGTCGCGTGCATAAGCAGGCCTGCAGGGTGATTTGTTAAGGATCAGGTTTCATCCAATCACTCACTCACTCAGTCAACCAAATCAATCAAAGTGAAAAAAGTGTCCAACCAGCACTATGTGAGCTGTCTGTGACGACAGAGAATATATGTTGGAGGACGTCTGTGTAATAGGTCTGGTAGAAGCTCTGTGCCGCTATCTCATTCAACGCTACGTTCTGCAACATCTGGTACAATATACTAAGACCTGCGTACACGTGTTGAATGTCAAGGTCAGTTATTATTATTATTAGTTTACCAAAACATTGTAGTATTATAACATTAAAAATAACACGAGTGAACGTAGAAACTAGATCAACAACACTATCCACAATGCTAGCAACAAAGACAACAATATCAGTACAGCAAATAACGCTAACCCAACAAATGAAAAATAACAAACATTTAACGTCACCACATCATAACAACAACAGCAACAAACCTGTGTCAGAAACATTCCTCATCGTGTGTTTGAAGCCCCAGATTATTGAGTCGAGAACTAATTTGAATTGGCTTGGAGGAATTGTCAGGAAGGCTGTTTAGTGATTAGTGAAGTGATTGAATGAAATGATAAAGGAATGTAATAAATGTAGTTAACATTATCATGATTTGTAAAGAAAAAACGAAATTGAAAAAAATTTCGCTTTTATTTTCTGCCACGAAAACACTTCATCAGATTGACAGATTTCTAAAATCATTAGCAGCTGAAAATATAAAAGCAACAACACTTCAACAACAGCTATGACATTAACAACAACAACGATGATGACAACAACTTTAGTAACGACAAAAAAAACAACGACCAAACCTGAGAAGCAATGAGAGTTAACAGCTTGTAACAGTAAAAAGAAATTGGTCCTATGCTCTGGGTACTCTTCAAAATTCTGCAAATAAATTACACATACCAGCAAATAATTAATGTCACCATTATAAAGTATTAGTGTCATTAAGTATTCCAATCATTAGGTTATACAAAGTATCATTACATGATAGTCAGTCATCATTTGGTGTTATGCATAGATGTCATTCATTATTGTAGCAGAATAGTACAACTTACTTTGTTGATCATGTCCAGTGTGCATTCGAAGACGGCATCAAATATTTGAGGTATATCTTTAGTTATGTGGTTCTGTGTGGAGGAGAATTTATTCATACATTCATTCGATCAATCACTCACTCAATCATTCATTTGATCAATCAATCAATCATTCACTCAATGATGATACTAGAAGTAAACATACCTCAAGTTTATTTACAATGGTGGCCATGGTACTCAGCACTTCGGGTTCCCTGGCAGATGGTACATTTCGTTGATAGTCCAACAAAACCGCATCTAATAATGGGGGCACAAAGTTCTCCGCAGCCTAAAATTATAATAAATTAATAAAATTATAATAAAATTAATAACAACGTAAACAACCAAAAAATCGACAACTGACCACTTGGGGCTCTATGCACCGACTGACCCATCCGGATATCAACTTGAGTATCTCCTTTTTCACAGTCCTCATACTCTTGATCAGTGGCTGTTTAGTGACCACTTCACCGTTGGCTGCTATGGCCCCGGAGACGTTCTCACTCATCACTTTGTATACATTCAACATGTCCAAGTACAGACGACCGAGCTGTCGAGATTAAAATGTAAAAAAAACATGCTATAAATACTGTTATTGCTACTAGACTATAATAATACTATTATACTTGCTACTAGCGTTAATATTTATAACGACAACACCAGCAACAACAGCAACACCAGCAACAACAACAACATTCTATCTGTTTGAGTGTTGAGAAAAACGAAAGCCGGAGATAAGATACCACCTGAATGATGTATGAATGACCGAGAGCCTTGCACGCTCGAACATTTGTCTTGAGGATGTTGCCTAGCTGTTTAACAGCATCAGGGTCTTTCAAAATGTCCACATTCTACAAATACATTATACTTACATATAAATAAATAAATGAACAAATAAATATATATATATATATAAATATTTATTCATTCAAAACAAGCTATAACCAAAGAAAAGAAACTAACAAAAAATAAAATAGAATGAATGATTGGAAAAATGATAGAGAGAATAAATTAACGATTGGAAGAATGAATGATTGAATGAACGAGCGAAACAGAGAAGGAAAAAGAAGGGACCAAAATAACCTTGGAAGCTTCCATAATAACATTGTCCCATACAGTGTTCGGAAGAAGCATGTACTTTTCTATTAGCTGGTTCTGTAAGGCCTGATCATTCTGAGCACTTATCATGAATCCAATAGCTTCGTAGAACGTGTGGACCTTATGTGTGTGTGTGTGTATGTATGTAATGCTGCTTATGTGTGTGTTTGTGTGTGACGTGTCCATGTGTGTGTATATATACATGTACATATATGTTATGCTGCATATGTGTGCGTGTGTGTCCAGTCCATGTTTTCACTAATTATTATTCGTTAGTTACCTGCTGAGGTTGGAGATCGCAGATGATGGAGTTTATGTTATTGAGTATCTCATCGATGAATGGAATCATCTCACCTGCATTGGAAAGGAGAAGCAGATTTCAAAATAAATAAATCATCAACAACTAATTAATTGGATAAATATGTTTTTAGAAAGAGAGAGAGAGAGAGAGAGAGAGAGAGAGAGGGGGGCAGACATACAAACACATTATTTAGTGTCATAATACAAACACCTAACTAACATGAAAGGTACAAACAAGTGAATGGACAAATAACAAACGCACCTATTTGCACTTGTACAAAATGCCTCCTACACTTTTGTGATATCTTGATGAATGTATCACACGCCATGTCCTGTACTCCATCATGAGTTTCTGTGCAAATGACGCGACGAAGATGGCGTTGCAATGATAATGACAATGATGTGATAATGACATTTATGATGATGCGAGTAATTTTTTATTTTTATTTCCAGTCATTTATTTGGTAAATAAGAAAATCTCCAGGAGATCTAAAAGAAAAATAACTTGTGCAGACCACCTCAATTAAAATGTAACTGAGTGAATGTTATAGCAAAAAAAATAAAAAAATTTTAAATGAATAATTCATATTGGAAAATAAAATATTTACATCGTTTCTCCAATTGTCTAAAACATTATATAATAGTAGCAAAAATCAAAGTAATATCACAAGTATGGAATAATAATAGCTAATTAAGTTTACAGGACACTTTCGAGAATTTTCGAAGTATGTATGCATGTATGTATGATTGTATGTGTGCATGCATGCATGTATGCATGTATGTATATATGCATGTATGTATGTTTTTGTCCATAAACTAACCGTGCATAAACTCAAACAGTTTGTTGACAACAGTTTTCAGGAACCTCCAATGAGCCCTGAGAAATCTGGGATACTGACCGACCACGTACATAATGTTCGAGGCTATGATGGCTTTGTTATCCTTACCTCTTTTCTGCTCGCACAACCCCAACAATTCCTGTGTTAGTGATTGTACGATTGGTCGGTTGGTTATTTGATTGTTGGCTGGTTGTATGTATGATTGGTCAGTTGGTTATTTGATTGTTGGCTGGTTGTGTTCGTATGATTGGTCGGTTTGTTATTTGATTGCAGTTTAAAATCTATTAGCATGTAACGTGATTACGCATCAACTGGATGTTTCAATTTAATAACAAATAAATTTTTAGAACAAATTGTACATAACTCTGACTATAAAAAGAAACCCAAAAAACATGATTGAATGGAAGAACAAATACACACAAATTAACAAACACATTGTATTATACATAGACAAAAACCTTGATGACTGTGACAAGAAATCTCTTCTCATCTTCTTCATGCATGGCGCCACTGATTGATCCAATGGCCCAACATAACTGTGATTAGATGGACAGATAAGTGGATAGTTAGATAGATAAATAGATCAATCAATTAATTGATAGTCAATTAATAAAACCAGTAAATTAATTCTAATTATATGTGTCATTACAGAACCGTTTAACACAATCAATCAACTAGCTAATCAATCAACTAGCTAATCAATCAATCAATCAATCAATCAATCAACCAACTGTATTTAGATTCTTCCACGACCATTCACTGCCGTTGACTTGGTTGTGAAGTTTCTCAGTCATAATGTTCTCCGTGTCCGTGTAGTCCAAGTGAGTTAGGTAGACTGTATGAGATGAACATCACCACCACCATCATCATCATTATCATTATCACTATATCATCATCATCATCACTATCAACAGTTTATATCATCACAGTAAGTATATAAATCATTGCTCTGAACGTTGTTCACTTTAACGTGGTGTAAATAATAAGCATGCATTAGAAATGAAAACAGCAGAAACTCTTTGACTATGATGAACAGTTATAAACAAATTGGCGTCAGTCAGTCAGTCAGGCAAGCAAGCACGAATAGATGGAAAATATGAAAATGTACTTGACGAAAACTGTGGTTGGTGGCTGTGGTATGTCCTGAGAAAGATGAATCTGTTGAGGTCATTTTAGCTGCTGCTAATATGAATGAAGAGGTTTTGCTCTTGTCACTCCAAAGTATGAAACAATTAAAATAACGTTGACTGGAAGATAGACAGAATGAAACAAAACCGAATGAATCTTCCAATTCCAACCAGGATAGCACGTATAGAATGGATATGTATTATATATCACGTGATTGCTTGCAAAAAGATGAATGAAGTAGAAGGTAGGGCATACGAATGAAACTCTAAAAGGTTTGGAGTCGGAGCAGAGTAAGCCATATATATTTATGACAACAGTGCACCAACACACAAAACAGCCAAATTTACCCAATGTCTCTCTCATGGTTTTGTACATGTTGATGGCATCTGTGTCCTTCATGAACTCTCTCACGACCTCTCCTTGCTCATTTTCAACGACGAGTACTTCCTCCGGTTTTGCCATCCTGGAGATCATGATTCTACGCACCTGCGACATTGTTGTTGTTGTTGGCGTCATCATTGATATTGTTGTTTAATCAAACCAACCAACCAACCAACAAATCCATCAACTAGCCATTTGGCCAATCAAACAGCCAGCCATACAACCGACCTTAGTGAGAACAGGTGTATAGAGAGATCTCCTGGGTGGCATATCTGCCTGCCTACTCACCAGGATGGGGTTGATGGGGGTGTAGGGGCTTTCCCTGTAGAGATCCGACGCCAGTGCATTCCAGTACTCCAAGCATATCTTGAAGATTTCTGTCTCCTCTACCTCTGAGATGAGAACTAAGTAGGACATTGACTGCATGGTTGAGTTGTTGTTATTATGATTCATTAATAAAATTATTTAATCAATTAATATAAGCTATTATTATTTAGTACCAACTAATAAATTACCAGCTAACTAAAAACAATATATAGAAATAACCCAACCTAAGGTAATAACTATGTACAGTTGAAACATTAAATAACAAAGAATATATACTGCAAAGCATATACAAATGTTTAGTGTACACATAAGCATACATACAGCAAGATACCAAGAAACTAACACCTACAAACACAGACAAAAATAAACAGATACACACACACACACACACGCACGTGCGCACACACACGCCAACATCCACTACCAACGTCCATGAGTGATTCAACAAGAGCAGGATTTTTTTCTATGAGTTGTCCATGCTCTTTGAGGAAGGTACATAGGAAGAGGCTGAGGTTCTGTATGAAGTTCTGCTCATCATCTCGACCGGCTTTGTACGCTGCTCTGATGTTCGTCGTTACTGGTAACATCTTTTAGTGTTGTTGTTAGTGATGTCATTGTTAATATTTGTTAATGTCATTTAGTATGTATGTAGGTATGTATTAGTTGAGTTTCGATGCTTTCAAAAATGTCTGTACTAATTTAGTAGTAGATAGATAAATGAACATACCTGCTTGAGTTGCTGCAATGTTGTTGTGAATATCTTAATGAACTGCTCGTCATATTGGGTTACCTGGACACCAGCTACACACAGAATGAATGGATTGATGAATGAATGAATGGATTGATGAATGAATGAATGGATTGATGAATGAATGAATGGATTGATGAATGAATGAATGGATTGATGAATGAATGAATGGATTGATGAATGAATGAATGGATTGATGAATGAATGAATGGATTGATGAATGAATGAATGGATTGATGAATGAATGGAGTGGATGAATATGTAAATTAATGAATGAGTGAATAAATAGAAGCATGGCTAACCTATTTCTGTTAAAGATTTCAGTGTAACATTCCTAAACAAGGGAACACTTAAGAACTGCAAGAAATATGGAATGACAGTTGACCATAAAAATAACAAGTTAAATAATATTCATCAATGAAAATTATTGTAAACTGTCCCTATACCCATTACCATGCATTATATTTAGCTACATTTTTAATGATGTCACATCCATGGAGAAGTTTATCATAAACAGAAAACTTAAAATTTATGAGAAATCAATTGAATTTTTACTTACTAAACCAAGCCATAAAAAAATAAATAAATAAAAAAGTTGACCAATAAATATATGTAAGCAAGCAGTGCAAAACTTTGCATGAACGATAAAAAAATTAAAAATGACAATACAAACCTTGAAGATGAGAGTGTGTGTTAGGTTAGTTTCAAAGACGTATCCCAGAGGTATCCAGTTAAGAAACCTCAGAAGGGTATCCAATGTAGCACCGACCAGTGAGGCATTCTGAGAGTTGTCCTGTGGGGGTTTTTTTTCAATTTGATCTCACTTTTAATGAATTTAAATTTAAACAATTTTATTTATTTAATTCATCTACCAATTTATTTACTTATTTATTAATATAACATATTAATTTAATAGGAAAATGTTTCAGAAAGCTACATGGAATAAAGTAGGAATGTAAAAAGAGCCTAAAAAAATGAATGAAAAACCAAATTTTACTAGAGAAAAATTTGAAATAAACTTGCTTGACTTGGCCAAAAAAGAAAAATACAATAATTAAAAAAACAAATATAGAGTAAAGTAAATAAACAAACAAAAAAGCCAAAATAAATGATGGCTATAAATAATCTTTTATGAAACTAACCATCACATACTGGCAGAGATCGAATATTTTGGCAAATTCACTGCACATACTCTCTTTGAGATGTTTGGCCTTTGTCTGGGTCATTTGGCCGCTCGAAAAGTCAAAAACTTCCTCACTGTCATGGTACATTTTTAAATTAAAATTATTAGTTGCTTACAATTTTTATGTGCAATTGTAGTGACCTGTTCATAACTTATAGAAAATAAAATGATGGTGGTAAATAAAATAAGAATGATAATACTGAACAACTATGACAAAATGATGAAGTTACAATGATGATTGCATGCAATGATGACTATAGTGAATGAATGAAAATTGTAGTTGTGTGATAAAGTGATGATACCAAACCTTAGAAGTTTAAGTATGATCATATTGTTCTGGCAGAGGGATTCATTCGTTTTGCTGGCCCCGACGATGTCACTGATAAACGTCGGCCAGTTATGAGGCCATTCATATTTCAATATCTTCAAATTCGTCGAGGAAATCATTTTTTAATAGTGGGGCATTTACATTAAATCAAATTCTGTTTACTACTCACCGTCAATGTATTGTTATACGTCTTTTTAAAATACTGAGGTATTTTTATATAACATCTAAACACTGCATTAGTACAAACAATATATATATATATATATATATATATATATATATATATATATATATATATACATACACCATCATCGCAAAACAATGATGGTGACATCATTTGCACGAATAGTAATACATAATCAAAACCATCAACTAAACCAAGTGATCAACCAGGTGATCAACCAGACAGACAGACAGATGAGGCATACAACCAAAAATTGAATCATAACATAACTAATTAGACAAACATCAAACCAACCAGCCTGTCACTCAATCAGCAAACCAGACAGCCAACCTACAAATCACATGCACATCTCACCTGTACGAGGATCATGTTCAACTTGCCGAGGTAGACCTTTTCAGCCTCGGCCATGTTGGCATCAGAGGATGTCTTGATTATCAGACTGACTATATATTTTCTTATGCCTGGTCACAAATACAATAACACAAACTTTTTGATAATCACTATGATTAAAATTTATAAAATAATAAATGTGAGTAAATCATTGGCAAAAAGATTAGAGCATTATTGTAAGAATTCTGATAGACATTTTATAAAATTATTTTAATATAAATTCCTTAATACAAATGGCCAATGGAGATGGAAGCAACAACTTGAAACAAAGCAGAGCGTTTGAAAATGAAATGCTTATTAGATGAGACATAATTGTGTACATTAAAAAATTGAAACTGTATAAAAATTAATAACAAATCTGAACCTTCGCATTGTGCTCTAGGCAGAACTTTCCATCTTATTTTGATGACATTTTCAAGAATTTGAAGAGCATAATATTTGGTCTGTTGGTTGCTTGAGAATTCGAGGATGGTGTCGACGCGAGTCCACGCATCGGGGTGCTCCTTGAACGTTGTTAAGATTTCCTGGGCCATCCTTTGCTGTTGTGTGCCAGATTAATTAAACGTTTTCATCTTTAACAAGTTATATTACTAATTGTTTCACATACAAAAATCAGAATCAAGAGAGTTTTTGAGACCATTCATTGCAAATTTATAAATTGTAAAAATATGAATTTAGAGAATTGATTTCCCGATAATTTACCTGTGGTCCAGAGGCAGAATACATGCAATTGACAATGGTATCCAGTAACTGGATGTCAAATTTCTGGTTAAAGTCCAAAAGCTTGGAAGCCTGCTCTGCTAAAGAATTCATCGTGGGATCGCCTTCAAGACTAGGCATCTGTTGGACTGGAAAACAAAATATAAAAAGATTTTTTAAATGTAGCCAAAAATTATTTCCACAAAAATTTCTTAAACTCTTCAAGTTTCTGTTTAATTCTTAGTTTCTTAAACTGAAGGTTAATAAAATTCATTTTTTCAAATGTTAACTACACTAAATTTAAAAGGTATTGTGGCTTCTCTTAAACTGGTAATGACCAATTACTATTAGATAGTTGAACACGTAAAATATTTTGTAAAAATTAGATGGCTCCAAGTTTACAAAGAAAAAAGATTTCTTGAATGAAGCCAAATGTTTCTTTGATATGAGCTCTAACAGAGTGATAGTTGAGGAATGTTTTATGTTAGTAATTAAATTAATATTTTCTTCATTGAAAGTTAAAAATATATTAGTAATTTTTAAGGATTTCAACAAATGGCGATCAAATGAAATTTCCAAGAAAGATGTAAAATCTTGATAACTGAAGACGATTTGTCCGATGATTCTGACAATGTTAGTAACTAATTTTTTTATTATGCATAATCATGTTGAATTTATTTTAGTTTATTTATTATTATTATTTCTTTATTTATTTATTTATTACAATTTAATAGATGAGAATCTTCTCACTGTAATAGTGGCGCCAGGCACTTTACCGTTACACCACCCTTCCGCTCGAAATATTATTTAAACAACATTTAAATTTTAAAATTAATTTATTTTAATATTAGCAGGAGCTAGAAATAGTGCCCAATAATTTTTCTATGAGCATGGAAATACAGACTAAGTAAATAATTAATATAATAAATCTAACTATTTCATATCATGAAATGCATGAAAGTTTATTTGCCCAGCTTTTTATTTTTTTGTTAAATTTGAAATCCAGTTGAGAAATGCTTAACTAACTTCACACACCTTTTTAATTAAATTTAAATAGTTGGTGATTAAACTAGAAAACAGTGCCGACGGCCAGAAAATTACGAGCTTTAGAGTTTTGATTGAACTTTAATAAAATCAAAATTTTAAATTAAAAGCCATCATTTGACAATGAATGTTGAAATAAATAAAATAAACAAATTCGTAAATTCGCGCCAATCGTTTGCTTACCTTTGAATAGAATTTTGTTCCGATGAGCGATTGACGAATTTGACGGAAAAACCAATGTCCGGACTGGGGAAAGAACAAAAAAGAAACAAATAATGAAGAAACGTGAGAATGGATGAACTCATATGCGGGATTATCATTAACGATGAACCGGTTCTAACTGGAACACAACGCCATACTCGGGATCGCTCTTGGAAAAAACCCAACGAATTACTTTCAAAAAACGTCTTAAAAAGTATTAAAAATTATTTCTAAATAACGCAGCCGAAGCGAATTTTTATTTTACACTCAACTTTTGCAAAATTAAAAATTTATCAAGGCTAAATAAAAAAAAAATTTAACGGAGAATTTGTCGACTTTTGTCGCCGTTTTCTGCAATTCTATTGGTCCGATTGTAACATCATTTAAGGGATGGGCGTTATTATTTAAACATGTGACCGAAATAATTTTTATGACTTAAGCATGTCATAACACAGAAATAAATAAATAAATGATTACTTCTTGTATAAACTTCTAAACATCTATTGTTAGATAAAATTGTCATTTTCATGAACTTAAATAATTGGTGTATAATTAAATAATTGATTGAATTGAATTGACTGAATTGAATTGAATGTTCAGTGATACATAACGCTAACTATTCAATCGGATCAAGTTGCTATGTTAATAATTTCAAAGTTTCCATTAAATTAAACATTTTCATGTGCACACACACACGCGCGCGCGCACACACACATAGCAGTACAGATTTTTATATTATTATTATATAAGCATCGCACGTTTCTGATGTTATTAATATGATTTATATGATTAATATGGATAATATGATTTATATGATTAATATGATTTATATGATTAATAGCCTATGGTTAATATGATTTATATGACGATCTCAAACGAGTGTTTTGCCTCAAAAACATGGCTGATAAGTTTTAAAGATTTGTAAAATGTAATTTAATTTGTTGGGATTGCCTTTGTGGATCCGTCAATGTTATTATCACCTAGGTTCGACTGGTTTAAATGAAGTGACGATGAAAGCAATGATGACGATGATTATGATGACGATGTCGATAGGGATGGTGTTGATGATGATGATGATGAGGAGGAGGAGGATGACTCCCCACTTTTAACGTACTGCGGAAGACTTCCATGTAAAACGACATCTTCTGTGATGATAATCTCCACAATGTCAGACTGTGGACAATTGAACATAGGGATGAGAAGAAGCTGTTCCTATTTGCGTGTGTGTGTGTGTGCGTGTGTGTGTTCGAAGATGTAGGTATGTACACAGGTGTGATGGCACATATCGTTGCATTGATTAACTTTGTGTTCGTTTTGAACACAGAGCGCATGAATGAACGCATCAAACTCACTGCATATGATGCGAGGGAATCATTTGCATTCGAACACTGTTACTTCAATAGCACCGCCAGACGTCTTTCTTAACGATAGCGCCGTCTGAAACAAATACGAAAGAGCATGCTGAAAGAAACATCTGACGACATTTCTCACCTACCATGACAGATTTCAGCCCCCTGGCACCTATCTGCTTCTCGATGGCCACGCGAGCCACTGCCCTCAGGGCCTCTTCAGTGAATGTCAACTTCACCTGCGTTTGTTGGTGGCAGACGTTTTCTCATTCGTTAACTTCTTTCAATCGTTAATTTTGTTATTTATTTCTGTTCATGTGCATTTGAACGAAAGCTTTCATCGTTTCATATCATTGAATTTGTATAGGCTTGCAATTTTTAATTTCTGTAATCAATTGATTATTCTATTAACCAACTAGTCAAGCAGCAGAGTGAAGAAGCCAACCAGCAAACTAAGCACCAACAACAAATCATTCATTTAATTCTATAAAACAATAATGAAAATCAGCAGCACATACGCTGTCCATGAGGAGAAGGTGTTGGTACTGAGAGACGAGCGAATCCTTGGGCTCAGTTAAGATGCGGACGAGGACGTGTGCATCCAGGTGACAGAATGGCACGATCACCGGGAACCTGCCAACAAACTCGGGAATCATTCCGAATTTCACGAGATCTCTCGATTCGATTTGATTCAAGAACCAATCACGCGACTGAGTGTCGTCATCGAAACTGTGGTCACCGTTGTAGCCACCACCGCTGCTGCTTCTTGAGTGTCTGTGGATGGGCTGGATGGTCTTGGCGTCGAATCCAAGTTGCTTGAAAGTTAAAACGTTACAGGTTGTGCAATATTTTATTGGTTTTAAACTAAAATCAACAAAATTAAATAACTTTTATTTACTAACTTAATATTTTTACGAATTATTTAATAACTTTACTAAAGTAAATAATTTTGATAAAATGATTCAGACGCTATCATAGCTTAAATGAATTCAATACAATCCAAATCAATAAACATTGTTTCAAAACTGAAAGCTAAAATTTGAAAAAGTATTGAAATAAGATGAAAAAAACCAGCAAAAAATCTCAAACCTTGTAATCCTTCCTGTTTTTTATGATCGTCTGCATGCCGTCAAAAGCCCCGGAAGCAATGAAAAGAACATTCGTCGTGTCAAACGTCACAGTCTCACGAGACTTCGAAGACTTCGATTCGGGAAGGTTGATGCTGGTTCCTTCCAGAAGTTTCAACAGTCCCTAGAGTTTATTAGTGAATTAGTGAATCAAATTAAACTCTGTTTAACTCTGATTATAAGGCATGGCTGTTGAAATTGATTATGCTTGCCAGCATATGAAGAGAATGTTCTCTTCTATAAAATAAACGCTTGTTATCGGCCTAAATTGATTTCTAGAGATTGAATCCACACAGCAATTTGCCGTAATGCACACGGCACGATTGTTAATAACTCGTGAATAACAATAGCAAATAAATGACAGAGTGAATGTTATTGTACGGAGCATTAAAGAAGGAAAGCAAGTGAGGAGGGCACGCACCTGTTGAACCCCCTCTCCACCAACGTCCCTCATGTGACCTATGACCTTCAAACTGCAAATCTTATCGATCTCGTCGAGAAAGATTATACCTGTGTGTGTGTGTGCGTGCGTGGTGTGTGCGTGCGTACGTGGTGTGTGTGTATGTGTGTGCGCGTGTGAGGTTGTAAGTAGTGGAATGTTTTCGTAGTTGATCATCTTATTGTCTTAATATTTCATCTGTGGTGCTCCATTGACCTGAAAACTGCCTGACAACGTCATCATAAACACGAATAACCATTCTTTCGGTTTCAAACGAGTGTATGAAATTAACAATTAATTTATTATTAAAATGCTAAATCGCGAGATAGTTAGTTATTCATAGAAACGGCAAGCAGCATCCAACCCATCCTACCTTTCTGAGCTTTCTCAACGTCATAATCGGCAGCCTGCAGCAGTTTGTAGACCACAGTCTCCACATCCTCTCCGACGTAGCCTGCTTGCGTCAGGGCCGTGCAGTCGGACACGGCAAATGGAACATCCAGCATCTTGGCCAATGTCTTCACCATGAATGTCTTTCCACATCCGGTTGGTCCCACCAGAATGATGTTGCTCTTGTCCAATACGGGCTGTTGTTTGGCTTTCAGTTTTTGTTGCAGCTGCTCCTCTTGCTGAAGTTGTAATTGTTGTTCTTGGTGCTGTTGTATCAACTGCGCTTGTTGCAGTTGCTGTTCGAAAGTCTGTGACGTCAGCATCTGCAGCTGCGATCGTGTTACGTCATCCTCGGCTTTCAGGATGCTTACTTTTTTTATTTTGTCATCGTTTCGACTGTTGCTGCTGCTGTTGCTGCTGCCATCGCTGCTGCTGCTGCTGCGAGGTCTTTTGTTGGTTTTTGTGCTGGAATTGTTGTTGTGGTTGTCGTCAGTTGCAGAAGTTTTGGCTTGTTGGAGTTTGTCCAGGGTCAGCTTGAATTTCGATAAGATTTCTGAGCCATTGCAATTTGTTCAAGAGAAAAACTATCAAATAATACGATTACGATGTGTTTTTTAAGAGATGAACGTAGAAACTGACCATGATTTTGCTGCTGCATGACATCGTTCGGGAAGAAGTTCGTCTTCCTTCTCAGCCTCCTTGTAGCTGCCTGCTGACTATGCAGCATCATGCAGTTGTGTCTGATCCTCTTGTAGTGGTTGTAGACGGCCACTGACAGCACCTTCTTCGGATGATCCTGCCCGATGATGAACTGATCGAGGAAGCTGTTTATCTGTGGCGGTCAGTTTTGGGATTTGGAAGATTTGAAATTGTACGCAGAGAAATGATTATGTGGAAATAATCATTATTATCATCTTCATCATCGCATCGTCATCGTCGTCGTCGTCATCAGCAGACACGAACTTGCATGGGAGATGGGAGGTTGGCAGTAGTAGAGGACTGATGGTGCAGTTGTTGCTTCCTCTCCTGCAAGGACTGCTTCAGCGTCTCAGAGCAGAACAGATGCTTGCAGTTGTCACACTTCACAAAAGTTGGTCCTTGTTTTTACATTTTATTACAAAATATTGATAAGATTGGAAAATAGGCAGTAAAAAATTACAAAAAACTGAAAAATAATTTAAAGGCGGCTACACCACCAACCATGACTCATAGTTTCCAGGTTCATGCGCAGTTTATCCGAGCCACACTTGGGACAACATGTGCCATCGTCGTCGTTGTCGTCACCTCTCTTCTGCTTGCTGGATTGCCTGCTGATGCAGCGAAAGTTCTGCCTGCCAACGTCCCACTTCTTATCCAACAGGATTGCGTTCCTGAAACTTCTGCCGCTAGCGGTAGTTGTGGCGTGATTGCATTCAAATATTATCATTCTGGCTTATGCCAGATGGAAAAATGATTCGACGAATAGTCTGATCGACAAGATCCACAAACAAATTAAATTTACTAATTAAAATCTCAAAATTATTTTTTAAAATATAAAATTATTAAACTCATTTTGATTTATAATATGTTTTATATTTCATTTCTTAGAAATTTTGTTAGCATGGATTGTTAGCAGGGCAACCTGTTGAACGGATGCAAAGTATTGTTTGGCCTTACGATCAAACTTCTGACAGGAAACACCGAAGATGACGCACTTCGAGTTTTATTGCGAACTGATTTCATTTCAACGAAATATTAAAAATAAAAAAATATTAAAAATTAATTTTAAATAAACCCAAAAATTATCACAAAAAATTTTTCTACAAAGAAAAACTCAAACAATTTCAAATCAAAAATAAAAAGTTTGAAGATTGTAGCGATTAAAACGTAAAGGATTATAAAATAATTGATATAAAATAAGAAAAAATAATTGGGATTTTAAAATAATCGAATTAATAATAGTTATTATGAAGAAATTGATTTAGTAATGACTTTGTTTTTTAGAAATGAAGATGATCTAAGTCTAAGTAATTGAAGAAAAAAAATGGAATGGTTATCAGATAAACCAAATATACCGCAACCATCGTTAGCGCGTCTTCCGTAGCGTTCTAACTGTCGAACACAATTCGGGATGCGTTTCGTATTTTTAAGTAAAGAAAAAATCATTGTTAGGAATTCATAAAAATAATAAAATAATAATAAAATAATAATAAAACAATAATAAAATAATAATAAAATAATAGTTAGACAACAGTCATTAGTTTTTGTGTTTTTTAAAGATGTTAAAAGAAATTGTAATAATGTGGATTTAGATAATAATTACAAATTTGAAAAAAAAATTCAAAAATATGATTTATTTAGAAAAAGATGATAATATTGTTGTTTATTTCTATTTGAGATCGATTTCAATAGATATAAACATAATGACGTTCCAGTTGATCTCGATTCATGTAGTTCCTACCGACAAAATAATAATTAACGAAAGTAATTAGTAATCAAATTAGGATCGTTACAAGGAATTACAAGCATTATGGTAAGTTCAGTGACGATTAGGAATGCGACAGTTCCGAATCCGGGTTCGAATCTAGAAATTCAGATCCGCGGATCCCAAATTGAGGATCGATCCAAAATGTTACGTGTCCAAAATCAACCAAAAAGTGTTAACATTTTTGAAAGTTAATTTACCTAGGATAAAACTATCTGATTAGTGAATAATTTAACCTTGACTGTTTTGATATTCACGTGTGTGAGAATATTTGGAGTTTAGTAAATCTGAAGGAATGGTTTCTAACTGTGTCCAATATGAAGAACATTACTACTAACAAGTTGATACATCTGCGTTTTATAATTATTTGTTTGGTTCGTCAGAGTAGTGTTTTGAAGCAGCATTTTTGGTTTTAGGATTGTATGCAAATCGGATCCAGATTCGAATCCGTCATTAAGATTTGGATCCAGATACCACGGATCTCAAGTTCTTGGATCCGTCCTATTCTTACTGACGATAATAACTTGGAAATGTATGAAATAACATTAATGAATTAATTAAATAACACATCAATTAAAGTAAGTAATTAAATGCGGTTGATTAATTAATGATTAATAAATCTCACACCTTGAACCTTTCCTCGATACTTATCTTTATACAAAACCATGAAACGAATACTACTTTGTTACTATTTACTACCTCTTTAGTTGTTGCTAGTAAACGAACTGAGATTGATACACAATGCATCGGAGCGCATTAGGTTTTCAGAATGTTTATTTAGAATACATCTTTCCTCAACTATGCCCTATGCCTCAGCTCAGATGAATCAATATAACACACACACACAACAACACGCACGCACGCACGCCAACACGCACGCACACGCACACAACACGCACGCACACACACACAATAAACGTAAGTGAATAAACGTGAAACCATGCGTCACAAACACATAGGCACTCACGACAGGCCGAGATGTTTTTGCAATCGAACTCAGTCTCTGCGAGGCAGCACCAGGCAACTTTAACCATTCGGCCATCACGCCTTATGTATAATTCCATACGCTTCATTTTATTAGCAATAAGGTTTTCAACAACATATATAGAAAAGATATCTTATATACATTTTTTTACAATATATAACAGTTTTTATGGCTATACAGTCTCTAACGTCATATATAGAATACATTCTTTGTATACATTTTCATACATTATACAACAATTTTAATAGATATACAATTTTGAATGAGTTGTATAGAACGAGAGCATACAGTACTGCTGTTTAAAGAGAGCAAATGATGCATATGCATTCAGACTCTCTCTAGCATTCACGTATATCTCTCCTACGTGTATGAACTTGGCATTCATTAGTTATTTGGGTCAGTCAAGTTCAGCGATAAAAAAAAACTTCTTGAAATGAGTTAAAAATTATTTTAAATTGATGTAACCAGTGCAAATTTTCATTCTAAATACAATTTTTACAGAGTTGATTATCTATCAAAGCTGAACCAAGAAAATTTATATAAAGTTCAGTCGAATTTATCTGCACTGCTATTGGTCCAGTCGTGAAATGGCTCAGAGATGAGCGAGATATCCATTTAACTTATAATCAAAATTTATTTTATCACAATTTTATACGTAAATTTTATTTATTGTCAAATATTTCTAAATAAAACAATCATTTCACAAAGCATAAATAATTTAAAAAACTACTTAAATAACCATTTTTATCATAAGAGCGCAAACACAAACCAAGCTAACAGCTGAGGAAGAAGAGCATTTATATGCATGTATGCATGCATGCATATATGTATGCATGTATGTATGTGTGTATGTATGTATGTTATGCATACATGTATGTATGTATGTATGTCTTCGTATGCATGAATGCATGCATGTATGTATGTATGTATGTAAGTAAGTATGGATTTATATATGTATGTATGTATGTATGTAAGTATGCGTGTATGTATGTATGTGTGTGTGTGTGTGCCTATGTATGTGTGCATATTGTGGTTGGCTGACTGTATAAATGCAGTTGAAACAATTAAATATGGCAAAGAACGAAGTGCTAATATGTTCGACTGAGTCTTATTTATTATTAATTTATTTCGTTAACTCTCACAGCAGTTAAATTTACTTTTTAATTTATTATTTGATAATATTAATTAATTAATTAATAAATTAAATTCAAAGTCAACAACAGCTGCGTTATTTTAAGTTTTATATTTAAATTAAAACAACAACAATAATAATAAAATAATTATAATAAATTAATTAATTCAATTGAAATAGATTGCGCAATTTTTTCTTAGTAATTATAAATTAATTAATTAATTTGGATATGAAATCACACCGCTAAAAAACTAAAACAACATTACCAAGTTAGTCGTTAGTCACTTTGGATTTTTTTCCTATTATGTAGTTTAAATCACATGTGCGTATTATTGTTGGTATTAAAATTGTCAATATTATTATGATATAACTATGTGTTTAATATTTATTATTTTAAATTATAATAATTTATTATATTATTATTTTTTTTATGATTTTACATAATTTAATATTTTATTAATATGATCGGGGAAGGGGTACAAATTTTTGACGAAGCCACTGAATATTTTAAATAATATAGACAGATTGATGTGAGTGACTGTGTGTGTGTTTGTGTGTGTGTGTGTGTGTGTGTGTGTGTGTGTAGGTATCGATTATATGCATTTTAATATTATAATATAACATTACTACTTATCCATTGAATCGTTTGTTCGTTCGATCATTCGTTCGTTCATTCATTTATCCATTCGTTCAGTCATGCATTAATTGGTGTTTCATAAAAAAGAAATTTGTACAGTAGAAACTCCATAGACAGTTTTGATAATGCTGGTTTGTGAGGTTCATTCCTTTGTTCGTTTTCATCGATTGACAGGGCAGCAATAAGAATTGCATTCATCCATTAATTCATTCATTCGTTTCTACATTCATTCATTTATTCATTCATCCATCATTCATCCTTTCGTTTGTTCATTCCTTCATTTTGAAAAACGTTTTAATAAAATTGTAAAAAAAAATTCTCGAACAAAAGGTGAAACATTAAATTTCGCCGTTCATTGTTAGCAGTAACACTTGAAAGCAGAACATAATCGAAATTATTTTTGCAATTTTCAACTTTTGTCTGAAGTTTAAAAAAGGGAGATCCTCAAAGGAAGAGAGAGAGAAAGAGAGAGGGAGAGAGAGAAAGAGAGTTGTTTATTGTTTTTTTGTCATGTTTTCATTGTTGTGCAATTTGCAATCTGTTACAAGATGTCGTAATGCAACGTTTGTAGTTGCTTTCGTTTTGCTTCGATTTTTAAAAAATTTCCTAATGAATAGTTAAAA